AGAGAAGCCAAGAAATCTAGCATACTATTATTGGAGTATAGAGTCAGTCGGGATCCCCGGGAATCTAGTGATTGGAGGATATATCGGAGATCTTCCGATACAACTGAGTCCATAGGATCTACTGCAGATTTAATTTTCAACACGCACACCGAAAGTTCGTTGAACTCTTAATATTTTATAGCAACCGGACCAGTATGCCAAAAAGGAAAGAATGAATTAAAAGTTGAGTTTTGTTTGCTCCTTATATGCATCATGCAATATATATGCATATGATGCAAGATCCCAGGAGGTCAACATAACTGCTTAGCTAGAGAATCAATCAATTCAATCTGATGCTCTTTCTGGTCTCAAGAAACCCAATACTTATTGAGTATAAGCGAATACCAACATGAATGATTAAACCTCCTCACTGGAGAACAAATCACCGAACCACTATCGCTAGAACTCAATGGTACAATTGGGATTGGGCAGTTAATCATAGAAGTCAAACTAGAGAACCAGGAAGTCAAGGCCCTGATTGATTCAGGAGCTATGGGAATATTCATGGACCCCAACTTCGCCAAAGAAAATGGAATTCCTACCGAGCCAAAAGAACATCCCTATTAGCTGATGCTGTTGGGAGGTAAAAAGGCTGGAGTAGATGGTTGGGTACGTAGACAAACTAATGCCATCAGAATGATCATGCCAGGAGGACACACCGAGCAAGTCAAAATGGACTTAGTACCGTTGGGCAGATATGTAGTTGTCTTAGAAACCCCCTGGATTAAGAGGCATAATCCAAACATTGATTGGGTAAAAGATACCCTTACATTCGATCGTTGCAGTTGCAAGAACGAATGACTATATGGCCCGAAGGAACAAACTTCTGGGGAGGCCGGATACCATACTATAGCAGCTACGGATCCTTCACTGGTCGGCAAGACCGATGCAAAAGAAATTCCAGTGCAGTACAGAAAGTTCGCCAAGCTGTTCGAAGACCCGCAGGATTTGAGAGCCCTGCCAGAACATAAGCCTTGGGATCATGAGATCAACTTCAAAGAGGGATTCGTACCCCCGGTCGAGAAGTTGAGACTACATAACCCCAGTACTCTAAGAATATGGGAAGAATACAGATCTAAAGCTGAGAAGAAAGGATGGATTAGGAAATCCAAGTCCCTTTGTGCAGCCAACGTATTGTTAGCATTCAAGAAGGGAGATCCGAATAGTCGACCTTGCTGAGACTACTGCCGAGTAAACGATGGGACCATCAGGGATGTGTACCTAATACCCAAAGCCCAAGAACTAAGGGATAAATTGAGCAAGGCAGTGATTTACACTAAATTGGATCAGAGAAATGCTTTCAATTTGATACGAATCAAGGAAGGGCATGAATGGAAGACTGCCTTCATAACTACCAACCAAACGAAACCTTAGGCAGCCGCTGCCTCCAGTACAGCATCGTTACACATGGCTCAACTATATCATAATCATGAAGAAAATTCGAACCAATTAGAATGTTAAAATTGCATAAATCTATAGTATTAAATTGTTTTCAGATCTAAAATCTTCTATCTAATCCGTTAGCCCGGACTATTGGGTGTTCAGAGAACGCCAGTATCCAAATAACCCTGAAAAACAGGGAAGTATTAGATGAGTAAGATCGAGCTAGAAAATGATACAATAACTGTGTCGGCTAACTGATATTGATTGCTCATAAAGTCAAGACTGCAGCCAACGCTTCTATGTTCTCCTCATCACACTTGTGGCACGCACACTCCATGCCGAACCAGGGCATTAGTTTCCTTTGTCTGTCCTTAAGACTATCGCCTTTGCCAATATACGAAATAAACATTTCCTCCCCTTTCTTGATATTCCTTTCGGCAAACATGGTTACTGTACTATTTTCATGGTCATGTCTCCAATCAACATTAGGATCACAACTATGATTAAACATGGAGTATAGCGGATTTATGGCAGTTCCACGGAAATTATCAAAGGTCTGTCCGTGTTTATTATTTTGCAGCCGGCAATGAATAGTGTGCAGTACCCATGTATCATACATGCCGTTCGTGAAGACATCGACGCCAAGCTCGCCGAGGATCTGGATTGGTGTCGTGATATGATCTGTGAAGTTGAAGGCGATGAGTTGAGGATTGTTTGGATTGTAAGCGGGCGTGAGACGTGAAATGAGAGAAGACTGTAGAGGATTTGCAGTATTTTCTCTAATAGAAAGGGCGAGGACTCGGAGGAGCAATTTAGATCCAATAAACGATTCTGTGGAGCTTGACGAGGATACTGGTTTAGTTTCATACAGGAAATCGAAATCCTTACCACAAACGACGGTGTGATAACTATCCAGCGCACGCTGGGAGCACAAAGGGCTGCAATAAGAAGTTCTGCAACAAGAATTTTCAACCCCATCCAGAACCGGCCCACAGCAAGCGGGACAACGACCGGCACTGTCAACTACAGCAGCAAGCGTAGGGTCATAAAGGACTGGTTCTTGAGCCAGAATATCTTTTATTGCCACGACTCCAAGCACATCCATCTCCAAAACTTCTTCGGGGGATGAAGCCAGTCTAATTGTACTCTTCGAGACTACGCAGTTGGAAGATGCAGAAGAAAATTCAGTGGCTACCTTTTCTATTGATTTATCAGATCTTGTGACAAGATCTTCGGTCATCCATGGATACGCTGTGGGGTAGACACCTCCGTTGTAAAGAGTACTTGTCATGGCTTCTGTTGTCATTTCTCCGTCGTCAACATATCCCTGGAGGATATCTTGCCGCTGCTCAAACCATGACTCGGCATTCGCTACTTCGGAAGGAAAAACCTTGTCATCAGGAAATCTGGCAACGGCCTCTTTACTTGCCGCAAGATAGTCTGCACAGCAGTTGGAAGCCATCAGGCCTTCCATCAGTTCCGACCAGATCTGAAGCTCAAGTCTCTTCAATAGAATTGTGACTAAGGCATGAAGAGATTCTGGAGTCGCAACCTGTGCCTTCCTCGGCATCCATGCTGGGTCGGTCTGGTGCAGCTGATATATCTTTTGACTATATGCTTTGTACGCATCAGTACCTAAGGTAGAATCGTTCTTTAAGGCAGCTTCGACTAGAAGCCGGGCTTTATGAACATCGCCAAGAGCAAGTTCTGGATACCCTAATTGACGGAGGCAGTTTCCTCGGTAAAGCCAGTTTTCAGGGTCGTATGCGGTCTCAGTAATGTCCTTTGTGAATTGAGTCAATGCTTTAATTTCGGACTCCAAGGGCTAGAAAAAAGGGCAATAATTAGTGAAAAGTTCGAACTACTCTCCTCAGGACTACAGGTAGACGGATATATTTGAGGACGAACTTCTGCCTCTAGAATTTGATACGGAGAAATCTCACAAGCTGAGGATGGCTTATATAATTCTGATCTCCATGGTGAGTCCATGTTGACGATGTCGGAAGAAGAAAAATTGGAAAGGGAATCTCTTGGCAGGTCAAATCTTTGAGGATTTTGAAACTCAGTGCTAACTGATATATCTAATGTATGAGAATGAGTGATTCTCCAAAGTTTCCAAGCTTGCCACCATGAAAAGATTAAAGAGAATGGAGCGTCGATGATAAACGATAGAGTGGGCAACGTTTTTTTTTCTCTTTAACACTTTACTAAAAGACTAGTGATTAGTACTCACTGGCGTACTCACTGGCGTACTGTGAGAGTGGACTCAGCCCACTAAGGTTGAGCCAATCTAGCCAAAAAGAGTTCTGAGCCGCAGCTAAAATCGGCTGATTCCTATATCCCACATGAAAAAGCAAGTAGATGTTTGGAAACACTGATGGTTACCGTCGCTGCCGGTGGTGCAGTTGCAGTTAAACAAATTTGTGTTATGAATAAGCTGGTGTGCGTTGGGTTTGTTGATGATTGATCCATTGATTCTTGATGGTATCGAATGAGAAGAGAAGATGTTCACTACTCTGCAGATAAGCACTAACCTTAACATGGTATAGACTGTGTTGCCCTGCATTCCTGCTTTATTTCAATGTTAGAGCAGTACGTAGAAGACGTATGGTAATGAGAAAGTATGAGAAGAAGTGATGATTGACGACTTATTGATATGAATTGGAATCACTGATATGTTCTGGAACATTGGACATGAATCTGCAGATGCCAAATTCGAGTCCGGCCACATATCTAAGTTTTAATAGGTAGGGAGTTACAATCATGTGTGAAGCTCATCGACCGAGAAAATCTCTCCCAAGCACCAGTGTTTGATTTGAAATTAATTAATTAATTGATTGATTTATTCATTTAGTTTTCATCATAAATACGAATTCTAACCGTTTTTACGAAGCTACTCATTTTGCCTCTCAAAACTTCTCACCTTGATACGCCATCGTTGTTCTGTTGACAGATTCAGAATCATCACTGGCAGCTGTAACCACCCCTCCGCGCTCTGCAATTTGTGTCCCATCTTCAGCAATCACAATGTCACCATATTGTGATTCCCATCCGAGACCCATCTCCTTGATGATCTTCTGATTCTGAGTTGGCCACACCTTGCAAAGTGCGAAGTATACAACGAAACTGACTGAAAACGATAACAGCCATCCGAGACGCCCAAGATTTATAGCACTGGATGACACTGATACACCTAAAGTTCCAATAAAACCTGGGAACGGGAGCGCAACGCCACAAAGGTATGCAATAATCGCTTGCACATTCCAGCCATGAAAATAATAGTAATGTTTATTTGCCTTGGAGCCGTTGTAGAGATGTCCAATGAACACGTTGCCTTTGGTGAGCGCATAATCTTTGAATAGTTAGCATCGGGCTAGAGAAATAAAATCACCTCACTTTCACCATCCTCAGGTGTGATAGTCCAGAGAAGAACTTACAATCGCAGACCATTATTGCAACGACGCTAGCCATAAATATACCGTAACCCGAAAGGAAAGTGGTAAAGACTGAAGCAGAAGCAAGAATCTTCCATGGACAGATGGCGAAAGCCAAGAATTCCACTACATATTGCCCTCGGGGAATCGTGAGGAATCGAGGAAACAACATGGTACTATCCGCCCCGAACGGAATCATGTTGGCCGCGATGTTTGTGCCAAGAATGGATACCATCCAGCAAAATGCCAACAAAAACACAGCAAAACGTGTGCTGCCGGACCAGTATCTATCCAAGATGGCACCGAGCAAATCCCAAGGGTTCCACAAATTTAAGCCCCAATTGTTGTTAACCGCAGCCGTAGCTAAAATTCCAAATGTGGCAGATAGCGTCACGGATAGAGGTTGGGTGAGAAGTTGTGACCATTGTGCACCAGATCTCGTCGCACTCCATCTTGCGATATCTGGCTGATTTGTGATCACTAGAAAATCAACAAGTTAGCAATTCTTCCTTGCGCAATGAGCATTGACAAAATACTCTCTGGAGGAAAAGGGAAAGTTGGGTGGTGTATTAATACAAGACAGGGAAGTGCAATAAAATCAGAGACTTACAAGTTGCAGTATTACCCATACCACTATTGATGCCGTGCATAATGAACCATCCATAGGCAGCCCCTTCACCAAGTGTGCTCTCAAATACCGATCCGACTCTTCCTTTTGTGTTGACCATGCAGAAAATGAAAAGTCCAAATACGGCCGGCAAAACTACAATCGATTTGAACCAGAAGAATGCTCGTAATTGATATGGCCGGAAAGCGCAGAATGGAAAGTGGACCAGCCAAAAGAGAAAGAAGGCGAGCATATTGGCGGATGTGATACCAATCGATTCAGGAATATGATTCGGAATATCAGTAAAGTTGTGCCCGAAAATGCATCGCAAGATATTGCTCATGAAGCTGGCCCCGGAGAACACTATCGTCGTCGGAGCATTAGCAAGAGATCGAAAGAGAGGAGATTGCATCCAGGACACAACGGGACCCACTAGTCCAATCTTTGGTAGAAGGCATAGTGCGTTCAGTTGCGACAAGAAGCCTTGCGTTGGACCACTTACGTTGTACACCATACCAGATAATGGCCAGGGCAGCTCTAGCTCCGACGAAGTAGTATGATCCATACATTCCGAAAACGCTCCTGGCTACGACAGGATACCCGATATGATAGACTGAGGCGCATCGACTGTTAAAGTACATGGCGATTGAGCTAATCGATTGGGATACGAAGATGACAATGATAGCCTGCCACCAGTTAAGACCAATACCAACCATGGTCGAGCCTAGAGTCCAATTGCCAAAAGAGAGTCCTAGGTAAAAGGTAACGAAATTCCACCAACGCCATGTCCGTTTCTCCGGAGGTGTTGGATCACTACAGGAATAAGTTTTTAGTCGCTGAATCGTTCACCATGTGCGAATCCAGCATGAAAAACTCTGTTGGACTTACAGATCTTCGTTGGACCAAGTCTTGTTGGATCCCGCATGGCTATGCTGGTCCAGTGCAGAATCTTGCACAGTGATGAAATCCAAGAAACCTTGACGACTCTTGAAAGCATTTTTAACGGCTTCAACCTTTTCTGCAGATTGAGCTTTCAATGCGGCGACGTTCATGGCGGGGGACATCTCGGATAATTTTTTCCAACTGCTGATAGCGAAAACCTTAGATACGGGGATCAGCAGTGACAACAGCGCAAAGTGAAGAGTAAAATCTTTTCACTTCCAACAAATGTCGAGAGAGGATAGCTATCATACTCCGAGTTATTGTGCCCTTTTTTGGGGAGGAGAGAAAGAGGGAGGAAGCAAAAGGGGGAGAAGAGGCGGGAAGATGGAGAAGAAAAGCTTTCCAATTTTTGATCGAGGAAGGGCAAAGATAAAATCCACTTTCATGCTTGAAGAGTCAGTCTACCTAGGATGTATCTATCTAGCATGTAGCTAGATACTAGCTAGTATTCACCCGGTATCTACCCAGTCTCTACCTAGTCCTACTCCGTACATTGACTGGTTCTGGTGGTTCTGGTGGTTCTGGATTTTGTTGGCGAACAAGTGGATAAACTTGTTTTTTGCTGCTAATCGAATGGACCGTTTGTTATCAACGGCCAAACTTTTCGGATAATTCTCCCAATCGAGTTAGTAAGTCGCTTGATAGGCGGTCCATCATCTCTATTCAGGCATAACACGGCAGAAAACACAGAATAAGATCTTACAAGTGCTTCAATGGAAATGACTTGGTCCCCAATGATCTGTCTCCAGGATTGCTTATCAGGTTGGTAGCTCGGACATGCCCGAATCTGACTCTGGGGAATCGTTGGAATGACACGAACGCGTCAAATTCTGATGCGGGATGCTTGTCTATCGCGTTGAGGCTGGAGGGGAGGTTGGAAATATCAGATATCAGAATTAATCAAAACTTAACCTTATATAATACTCAGTAGGTGATCGTAATCTTACAACTTGGGAAGCTACAAGTACCTCGACTCCCATTACTGAAGCTAAATAAAACATTTTACAAGCCAATAACGCCGGCTCCAGTGACGGAAACTGTGATTTCATAGTTTCATTCCGTAGGCTGGCGACCTATGTCATAACGTACCTAGTATATAACTCTATTGCCACTGGCCTCCTTTCTGACAATTCGGAATTTGGGAAATTAAAGGACACATGTCAGTCTCTTAAGCAGACCGAACGAGTTAAGCATCATGATCTTCTTTAAAACATTTAGAATATGAAGAAGGCGTATACCTAATGGGCGAATACACAGTAAGTGCACGTGTCGGGTTGGAGAAATCTTCACGTGCCACCACACTTCGACAGAACCTGATTTACCATTATGATTGGGATTTGATACCTTCTACCATACCCCGCTCATTCATATACTTTATCTTAAGGGCTACTAATGATTTCTTTCTACTATTTCCCATTCATTCCTCGAGTAGGCTTGAAGGGAGGCTCTAGCTGCTACAAGGTCAAGTGACGCTTTAGGTTTGCGACGGCGCTGCCACTAGCGACAAACTGCTCAGAAGTTCAACGGTGATCGAATTATAGTTAGTTAACTTGAAGGTTAAAACTTGGGTAGCTCACAGCACCATGTCTAGAAGATTATATATGATTATCATGGATTCCTCATCTTCTCACAAGTATTTCGGGAATTCTGACTTTGGTTTTTTTGCGTCTTTTGGTTCATGTCATAATCACAACCACTGAACAATATCTGATCTTCAACATTTAAAATGCAGAACGAGAACATGAACACCACCGCTGACTCCGAGGAGACTTCTACAAAACGACCCGAGACAGAGCATGCCGCACTTCGCTCTGAAGCTCTAGGTGGCGCAAATTCCGTAGACTCTAATGAAAAAGATGCCGAAATTGCCAGTAATAATGTTGGAAATGCCACTCAAGCTGGTGTGCAAAACATTGAGGCCGTCTCAATGACCTGGACAACATGTTCCTTGGTAATAGCATACATTGGGTATGTTTGCTGAGACAATCAATATCAGACTATGGGCATTTTACTAAAACAAACTCTCAGTATATTTCTCATCTCCTTTACCACCTCGCTCGAATCACAGGTGGTCATGTCACTTTCTATTTTTGCTACAAGCTCGTTCAACAATCACTCTTTAATTTCTACAGTTTTGGTGGTGCAGAGTGTTTTCATGGGTATGGAATCCTACAGTGTCTAGATTTCTGCGTAGGGTACTGACTCAAAAATATAGCTGTCATTAAAACGCCTATGGCAAAAACCGCCGATGTATTTGGTCGACTCGAGGCCTTCTCCATTTCAATCTTCCTTGCCGTGCTCGGCGGACTTACAATGGCCATTTCCAGCAATGTTCAAACCTATGCCGCAGCTCAAATATTCTACGCAGCTGGTTCAACTGGTCTCCAAATCCTCCAGCAGATTTTCATTGCTGATACGACTGATCTCCTCAATCGTGCTTTGTGGTCCAGTTTACCGCAAATTCCATTCTTGATTACTGTATGGATCGGCGCGCCTATCGGAGACAAAATTTTGAAAACGACAACATGGAGATGGGGTTATGGTATTTGGTGTATACTCCTACCAGCCGTATTTTTACCATTGGCATTGTCTCTGTTTCTTAACAATAGGAAAGCGAAGAAAGCTAACCTCACTGCTCCATCCCCTTGAGAGGATTAGGCCCGATTAAAGTTGTAAAAGCACTTTGGAATGATTTGGGACATTGGTGGTATGATTTTGGTTGAGTGCTGCATTTGCGCTCATCTTGATTCCACTCACCATCGCACTCCTAGGCCTCAAACGGATGGGCCAGTCCAGATATCATCGTGATGATAGTCTTGGGGTGGTTTGTCTCTTCAGCTTTCCCGTATGGGAATCTATGAAACAGCTTGCGCCACATCCACTCATTCCCCTGGGCCTCCTGAGATCTCGTTCATTTTGCGCAGGATGTGGCATTGGATTCTTCTACTTTAGTAAGTTCATGCTGGTTTGTATCTCATTCCCGTGTGTTAATCTTTATCAGTGGCATTTTTCCTCTCGGTCCAACCATACTTCTACTCCTATCTTCTTGTCGTCCAAGATCTCTCTATTCCCGCTGCCGGCCGCGTTACACAGGTGTTTTCATTCACGGCAACCATCTCATCTGTGATCATATCTTTCTTCATCAAGTATACTAAATACTATAAACCCTACATTACTGCCGGCTCGCTCATTTACCTCATGGGAATCGGCCTCATGTATCATTACCGCCAGGAAAATTCATCTATTGCTCAAATCATTGGCACCCAAATTGCCGTCGGTATCGGCGGGGGAATGCTGAATGTTCCAGCTCAGCTTGCCGTCCAAGCTTCGGTCCCTAGCCATCAAAACGTCGCGGTCGCGACAGCCGTCTACTTAACCTGTGTGGAAATGGGTGGTGCTGTTGGAAGTGCCATCGCTGGTGTGATTTGGGGCCATGATATCCCCAAGAAATTGGCCGAGTATTCAACTACCATCAATAGTAGCGCCGTTTATAACAGTATCAACAACGCACTCGCGTATCCTATGGGAACTCCTGAGAGAATCGCAATCAACAGAGCGTATCAGGAAACCATGCATAAATTGCTCGTGGTGGCACTCTGTGTGAGTGCACCGATTGTGATTTTGTCTTTGGTGATTAAGAATGCCAGGTTAGATGCTGGAGAGGACAAGGTCAAGGGAAGAGTTATTGGCGGTACTGCGGAGGAGAAACAAGAAACACAGAATAATTAACATTTAGGTGATTATGGAGTTAGGTTGCATAGATTTGGAATAACATGTGGGTACAATTTTTAAATTATAATTAAGTGATAAAAGTAGTTTTTGATTCGAAACTTGCCAACGAAGACACATTTTGTAATCGTAGTCTTTGAAGGGGAAGACATATGTTTTGTGGTCGAACAATGGTGGCGGGGGTTGTAGACTGCAGAAATTTTATGATGCTTGCAGCGTCTTCAACGTGTTCACAAGCTGATGTTCTCCAATGAATATGTTTTAGATATTCAGCATAGAATCATACCCGGTAGCTAACTAAAAGTAGCACAGATACAAAGATCCTACTTTTTCATCCATATTTCCACCAAAAATGACCAACGACCAAATCATGAGAACGCCCGCATGTTCAAGCCGAATCTTCTACTCAAAATTCCAGCCAAGACGCCAAATGCCGTGCCACCAAGATGGCCGGCATGACCAATTTGCGGCTGCCACCCATTCTGAAGCGCCAGAATACTATAAATAGCCTCTCCACCCAAGAATAGCCATCCTGGGATTCCTATCGGGATGAACATGATTTGCCACCTTAAGCTCGGAAATTTCACCGCTGTCATAGCAAATAGTCCAAACAAGCTACCAGACGCACCACAGCCACGAGTTATAGGGTCTAAGGAGCCGTTGCCGCGATGAAACTGAAGGCCATGTTTCCATGTGTATAAAGAGGCAAAAGAACATGTGACACCGGCACCAGCCCAGACGGCCACAAAAGTGAGAGGGTTCATGAGAGGGGCCATGAATAGGAGGCCAAGCATATTCATGAAAAGATGAGGATAGGTTGTGTGCATGAAGCTGTTGGTGAGTAGAGTATGGATCCGTCCTTCGTCTATATTTTGCTGAGAAAGGATGAAGTGTTTATCGAGATAGCTCGGCGTGAGTTTGGGAATCAGATTTGGAAGAGAAAACTCTACGAACGGGGAACGATTGTAGCTAAGGGTTATGTATGTACATCCTACAGCGATGAGGACTGCAAGTGGGTAGCTGGAGCGTTGGCGAGAGCTCGGGGGCGGAATCGGGTCAATGTATTGATATTCATCTTGATTGTGTTGCTTCCATTGACGTTGATGTTTGTTTCTGGCGTGTTCATCCCTCTGTGGCCGCTGGCTTGGCTCGCCTGGTGGGGAATCACGAAGTTTGGAGCCGCGTGCTAGCGGGGTAGACGAGAAGAAAGGACGGAAGCCGCTTGATGGAATAGCCCTCAACAGACGTGATTTAACAGCCAGCGAATTTGAATTAATGGAGTTGAGGTATGATGAATGGAATATCCGAGTGTTCATGCAGCCCCATGAAGTTTGACTCGACTGAAGGTGGTTGCACATTAGCTTGGTTAGAGGGACGCTGGGAAGGGCCTAACGTACGAAAGTTTTTGCAATTGGTCGTAACGGTCCTTTCCGCATATGGAGGCCTGATAACCCTGATTTCCCGAGAAAGACCATGATGGGCTATTGCTTCGACTTCTCAAATTTTGTATTGGAACAGTTCTGTTATAATAAAAGGGCCTAGAGACATCACCCGATATTCGAATATTCATGCCGGCAAAGCGACATGATTGGTAGAAATGTTAGGCTGGTAAATCACGTGGTAAAATATTTGCTTATTAAGCCCGCAGCACTTGACAAGTTCATCACCGGTCTATCTACAACCAAAGATTTTACTATTTATCCTCCTGGATGCACAGTCATTTAGCCTGCGAAACTCTATATACGTACAATAAGGTAGCAAAGTACGAGAGGAATAGTCTATATTGGCATTACAAGTATTCCAGGTTAGATGCGGGGATATCACACAGAAATCTCATGTCTTACAACAGAGGCATTTCAGCTAAAGTCTGACTGTGTAAATTGATGACTTGCATGTATGGGCGTTCCGATAAAGGCGGGGTTTGCGCGACCTTTAGGAAAATGTAGGTTTGTTACAGTATACAGTTACAGTTATACACTTTTTTTTGATTTTCAGGATCCACCTCATATGGTGTGGAGGAGGCGGACATTGTTAAGAAAGTCCGTCACTGAGAGACTCAGTTCTTCCAGAGCTGTTCTGTAATTCCAGTTCTCGATAGTCAAGAATAGGATGAGGACGACAGATACAAATGCCGTGCGACGATCATTGCTGTTATTCATTACGGAGAATTGTTTTGATTGCTAAGATTTCGCTCAAGGATTCAGAGAATATTAAAGGAAAATATTGTGCTTCAAATGGTATCATTCGTTATCACTTATCAGACTTCAAATGACCGCATTTGCATGAATTTAGATGCTCAAGCCTAGCCATCATATAATGTCTTCGCTTGCCTTACCAACAGTGTTGAAGTGGGTGTCTATTCGTCGAGAGGCTCCTATCTTGAGTCTGCATCGACTTGAGCTTCGAAGCCATTGGTCCTTTGAATGCGCTAGGCGAGAGAGAGAGAATGAGAAGGTATAAGGCATTACTTGCGCCCAATGCCACTTTCATGGAGTTTCGCAGGGCATTTCAGCTGTTTTACTCTTCAGAATGAACTCCCCCCTCCTTGGATTTCTCTCAACTATTCTTGTCCTTCAACCATATTTCAATGCCGTTGAAGCAGATTCTTATCCATTGCATCCTCCTGATGCAGTAGATAAATTAGCAACAAAAGGTCTTGCGAAGCTTGCCGCATATCAAGCCATGCATGATCCGAATGACACTTGCACGGTTAAGACGGCTATAAAACGCCGTGAATGGTAAGGCTTAAGCGACTTCCTGAAGTTCAAAGTTCTAAAATTTTGCAAGAGTGATCTTTCAGGAGCGCATCGAATCGCGTACACAAATGCTGTTCTTTGCCTGCAGTCCAAAGAATCTATCACGCCCCCTGAGCTTGTTCCTGGTGCTCGAAGTCGCTATGATTATTTTTTTGCCACGCATATGAATCAGACTTATATCATCCATGGAACAGTAGGTACTAGCTAGACCTGAAGTTGTTGTGATCTCATCTAATGACGTAGAGAAATTTCCTGGCCTGGCATAGGTATTATATCTATACGTATGAAAAAGCACTTCGTGAAGAATGCGGCTACAAAGGTTATCAACCCGTGAGTGTTGAAGTCATTCATTTCCATCATTCATTCGCACTTCTGCTACAGATCGCAAGTCTCAGATTCTCATGCGTTCTATTTCTCCACTTCCTCACTACCACACCACTAACCAGCCTCAATATTGGAACTGGGGAAGATATGCTCACGATCCAATATACTCTCCACTGTTGCAGGTGCACCTCCGCCATTCGACATTATTCCACCCGGCGTTGGTGGTGGATGTGTAACCACAGGACCATTCAAAAAGTACAATTCTCGTTTCATTCTCCTGAATTAAAGCGCCTTCAACCTGCTAAATTGCGTTGCAGTACGACTGTTCACCTTGGTCCACTTTCTGGGACAATCTCAGGCACACCAGTCAACCCACAGGCCAACGGGTTCGGCTACAATCCACGATATCTACGCCGTGATGTGGACGTTCATAGTGCTGCTGTTAGGAAAACCAACTATACCCACGACCTCATAGCGAATCCTTCAAATGCAGATATCTATTAGTTTCAGACTGTGATGCAAGGCTTGTTCAGTATAGGGCAGTGGGGTGTTCATACAGGTCGTCATTTTACTATAGGGGGCGACCCAGGCGGGGTAAGTGAATCTCTCTGTGAGAGAAAAAGACCCCCTCCTCAGAATCAGAAGTGTTAATCAATGCGCGCAGGACTTTTTCACATCTCCAGGCGACCCAGCTTTCTTTCTCCACCACGGCATGATAGACAGGGTTTGGTGGATATGGCAAATTCAGGATTTGTTAAAGAGATAGAATGCTATTTCAGGAATAATTACTTTGAATAATGTTCCTCCTAGCAGAAACACTACGCTGGATGATTTACAAGATATTGGATATAACGCGGGTCCTGTGCCGTTGAAAGACTTGATGAGTACACTGGGCGGGCTTAATGGAGAGATGTGCTACATCTATGTATAGGTAATTCGAGATGAGGATCACGCACTTCTCCAATATCGAAGGACTGAGTAGTTTACACTGAAGTTTAATATAGGATATTTTCAATTTTTGAACTAACTTACAAGTTTAAAATTGATTCAAATATTGAAATGAGTTTAAAAACTAAAATGGATTTAAACTTGAAATAAACCTGGATATTAAGATTGAACTTTAAGTGATCAAATCATTTCAAAATATCAATCATCTTCCAAACGACGAAAGCCTAGATCTGATATTAAGTTTTAGTTTTGACAGATTCCTCTTTAACGGGCGAAGGTGGCAGAGGCAAGTCGTTTGGCCGAGTATCTGATCATTCTGTACAACTCAGTGTTGTGAGTGAGACATTCAGGGGCACATGCACTATTGTTACAGGGGCTCGCCAGGGATAATCTTATCACATGCCACCTTTAGGACCCTAAAAGCTTATCAGTCCCTTAGTTCCACAGCTTTACGTAGCTCACCTGGGCTCTTATCTGAGCTGCCGGAGGGCTCAAAGGAACCGCCAGCATAGTAACTTACTTGGGTACTTACTCTCTTTCTTCTTTCTTTCGCTCTGATTAGAAGAAGATATAGATATGTAAAACCTCCACTTCATACGTTGTTTTGCATTCTTATCCTCTGCAACTTATTCTAGATTATTACCAGATTGTTCCATCCATCAATCTTTCTCTCAGTCAACATAGACTCAAGACATCATGTCAACCAACACAACCTCATCCGTCTCATCTATTCGCAAATTCGTCTCTTTCGCGGGCGGCCTCCTATCGCAGATACCAATAATCAACAATCCATCATCCTCCTCGTCGACTGGCACGACTCCTAGACCATATATACCTTTTGGTAATGCACCAGCGTGTCCGGCAAACTCTCCTCTCTCCTGCCACAACAGCACTACTGCACCAGATTCCTGCTGCTTCATTTATCCCGGTGGTCAGCTTCTCCAGACGCAGTTCTGGGACTACAGTCCTGCAATAGGCCCCGTTGATAGTTGGACTCTCCATGGTCTTTGGTTTGTTCATCCGTCATTAGTACTCATATGATCTAAAGCTTACCATATATCGCAGGCCGGATCTTTGCGATGGCTCTTATCCGACTTATTGTCATGAAACACCCCGATACTACAACATAACCTCTATCCTAACCGCCGCGTCCCAAACCGATCTGCTCGCATACATGAATGAATATTGGCTTCCGAACCGAGGATCCGCCGAAACGTTTTGGCAACATGAGATGAACAAACACGGGACATGCGTAAATACTCTTGCACCATCGTGCTATGGTGACAAATACGAAGCCGGCGATGAAGTTATCGATTTCTTCACGAGAGCTGTGGGATTATTTAAAGAATTGGATACCTATAAAGCGCTCGAGAAAGCAGGGATTGTGCCAAGTTATACGGCTACTTATACCGAGAGCCAGATTCAGGCTGCATTAACTGCAGTTACTGGAAGTGAGGTTGTGCTGGGTTGTTCGTATGGGAGATTAAACCAAGCCTGGTATAGTTTTAACGTCAAAGGGAGTTTACAATTGGGAGAATTTGTGGCTACCGCTCCAGCTGGGAAAGGCGGGAGAGGTACTTGTCCTAGAAGAGGCATTAAATATTTACCCAAGAAGGGATATTGAGCCTGTTTATGTATCTCTGATGCGTTTAGTGTCCTGTCAGAGTAGGACGCGCATCAGACTCGATTTGATTGGGGGTTTATGTTTGTTTTTGCTTTTCAAAGGGCGCATGGTATTGCATTGCATAGGACAGGAGTCCTTATGGACGGGATATTATAACGATGGTGAATCCAGAAAGAAGACTAAGTCCTGGCCTCGACGTGCTGTAGGTATGCCGCTTGGATCTTTAGATAAAAAATAAAGAAATGCCATATGGAAATCACTGCATTGAAACCTTCCTTTGGTATCTAGATGTTTACCACAGGACATACGTAATCATGCACAACCCAGCAGATGACAACATAATACTCGTCATGCATGCATGCAGAAGTTATACAAAGTGTGCAACTCACCACTCATTCTTGACGATGCTTTAGTGAATGGAACTTGGTAATATTCTCCTCTGTTTTCTAGCTATTTTAGAGCTTTTTAGATGTATCGTCATTATGCCATTTCAAACTTTACTTTACATCGTTGAGCATGGATTGGAATAACACAAAGCTGTGTCATTTTCTGCAGAGCATATAAATGGGCCGTTCCGATGTTATTCTTTACTCCCATCGAGATGCAAGTTTGGAAACCAGCCAAATCACATCAAATGCACTTACTTAATTGAAGTTATCACCACCATTGGAGCTATGTCTTATCCTGCGAACACCATCTTCCTAGTAGAAGGAAAGGTTGAGTAACCTGCTATCACATACCAATCTACTTGGCTCTTATGTTCATTGCTTCAAGAACTTTTATATAAGTTTAGTACTCTACTTTTGGATTACCCCTTTTTTGAACTACTTTTTTACACTAAAAATTACTATTTTTAGCTATTAATAATTCAACAATTATTGAATGAAATCAATTGAAAATTTAATTACAAAATCATTATATAGTTATAAATCAATTCTGAAAATTTCAGATTTTTCACAATTTTATTGATCGAGATTTTGAAGATTGAAATTTCGATTTTTGATTTGTATAGGATTTATATATAAATTTGAAAAACACTAAAATTTGAAATAACTTTTCAACGAAAATTATTAAAAATAAACTATAGATTTTTTAAAATCCTTGAATCAAATATAATATAATAATAATAATAAATCTAAATTCTTTTTTATAAATTTACTTTACAAAAATTATAATTAAAAAGTAATATATATTGATTTTTAATTATTGAATTATTTAATCTTTCATATATTTTATATTTTGTTAAAAGGAATGACCTCACACAGGGAATAGTGAGAAGCTGATAGGGTAGAACTGAGGTAATATTGGTCTAGTAGATTAATCTCTCTTCTAAGTTCTACGGAAGTGCGAAGCTCTCTTACAGAGAGCTTCTCAATCTAGTCCTAATAGGACTAGTGCCCTGTGCACGTGCTACGCAGGAACCATTCACTTTAACATATTTTATATTTTATATTTTATATTTTATATTTTATATTTTATATTTTATATTTTATATTTTATATTTTATATTTTATATTTTATATTTTATATTTTATATTTTATATTTTATATTTTATATTTTATATTTTATATTTTATATTATTTTAATTTTAATTTAAATTTAAATTTATAATAAAATTGATTATTTTTATAAACAAAATCTTAATAATATTTTTAAATTAATTCTTCAAAAATATATCATTAGTGTTACGTGACGGTTGTTATCCCACTAGTGGCTCACGTGCACTAGCCCTGTATATAAAGACCTTCTTACTTAGAATCTTCTTAGTTCTTTAGTTTTAGATTCTAAGTAATTGAATTGACTCCGTTTACGACTTTTCCGTCACAATTAGAATTTATAATTTTCAATTTCTTTTATGATATAAAGAAATTAAAACAAAATAAAAATAAAAATTTTAATATTAAAATTAAAAACACAAATTTATATATTATATAAATGAAAAATATTAAAAAATTATATTTAAATTATAAATTATTTTTACTATTTAAAGGTATATATTAGTATATTATATTGTGACGCCTCACACCTCCGGGTCACGTGGCATGCCCCGTTTGTATTTAATCACAGGAAAACTCTCTACTTTTGTTTTCCTTCTTCTTTTTCTCCTTAGTTTAGTATTTTCTAATACAAGATACTTTACCCAGTATTTGTCACGATTCACCATTAGGATTGATGGAGTTACGATGGTAGCAAACTGATTAATTAGGAGAGCTTAGGCCTTGTGCAAACACGATCAGATTTCATCGAATTAGTATGTGATCTTGGTCACCTGAAGATCGTATGCGCACGCACCATCAGAAATCACGTGATAAGGAGCCCTAGGAGCCCTCAAAGCTCCTAGGGGCTCCCTTTATCGTTCATTATATAGTCAGAGTAGTTTCATAGTTTAGGAGCTTCGTGCTCAACTCAGTTATCAATTAGTTTACCTACATTCTACTTGATCTGGTAACCAATTCACTTCCAAGTGAATACCAGTGATAAAGCCTTAACCCACCACTACCAACCAGACGAAACCTTAGGCAGCCTGTGACGGAAAAGTCGTAAACGGAGTCAATTCAATTACTTAGAATCTAAAACTAAAGAACTAAGAAGATTCTAAGTAAGAAGGTCTTTATATACAGGGCTAGTGCACGTGAGCCACTAGTGGGATAACAACCGTCACGTAACACAGCCGCTGTGACGCCTCACACCTCCGGGTCACGTGGCATGCCCCGTTTGTATTTAATCATAGGAAAACTCTCTACTCTTGTTTTCCTTCTTCTTTTCTCCTTAGCTTAGTATTTTCTAATACAAGATACTTTACCCAGTATTCTTGAGTGTGACAATTGATCCATTCGATCAATTATAATATAAATATTCGAAAAAAAAATTATAATTTATTTTTAATTATTTTTGTCGAAAAGTTATTCAAGATCTTAAAGATTTTTCAAATTTGCATGTAAATCCTATATAAATCGAAAATCAAAAAGTTTAAAGTTATAGATCTCTGTGACGGAAACCCCTGCTTTCCCCCCACCCTTATTATATAAGAAACCTCAGGTACATTAACCATGTCCACACATGATACGATTACTCGGGATTAGTATACGATTTAGGTGACCTGAGGATCAGATCCGGACAAGTACTAGGTATCAATGGTTATCGGTAAAGTAAGATCATTGAAGGGACAAATATGACTTCTTTTTGCCTAGCCATTGTGGCTAGACCATTCATTTGTATATATATAGAGTAGCTATCCCCATCTACAAGTGCTCTTCACCTGTAGATTCTAAGTTAAATACAATTGCTGGTCTATAAACACCCTTTTGGTCACAATCTCAATGAAATGAATTTCAAAAAATCTGAAATTTTCTGAATTAAATTGTAATTATATAATAAATCTTTAATCCAAATTTTATTGAATTTTATTAATTAATTATAAAATTATTAATAGATGAAAATGATAATTTTTGGTGTAAAAAGGTGTCCAAAAGAGGGGCGGTCTAAAAGTAGGGTACTAGACTTAATGCAATGTATTTTTCACATACATTCGAGGGAGCACCAAAACGTGAATACAAGGAAATGTAAAATAATACCAATCACTTTCTGTCGCTTTACTTTCGTATGTAATTATATGGGGTCTTTAGTTCAGTCCATTTGCTAAGCTCCACGGAACAAAACTTAGCTGTTATTTATGTGTTATACAAAATTCATCGTCAAGTTGTATTGGGACGTCAATGTACTTTCAAGATTATAAATTTGCATGAGAAATATGGTTAGTATTTCTCCTGGTTTGTCTCATATACAATCTTTACCCTCTTCAACCAGGGCTAATGATCCATGTTGATCTCTGAAAGCTCTATAGGAACGGTCCATGATGACAGCATATTGCCAGTGGAACAAAACGCGATAAATATTCTTGCAACGCCAACTGAATTTGTCACTCGGAGTCAATGATCAGTATTGTTTCTCATGATCATCACCGTCTTCGTCGAGGAGCCATGAGCCGATATTCTCCAAAGCCGGTGTCTTCCGTCCCGAGAGCATGGTACGGAAACATGTAGATCAGCTTGTATTGCGTCTTCGTTCATATGATAATACCAAGAAGTCAGTGTGTCTCTCATGGGTCTTTTCGTATTATGCTAATGTTATATTTGAATATGCTTTAAGGAAACCATACAATGACTCTGGGGGTTCCCAGGATTTTCATACGTATTTCCATACGGATTTTCATGATGCACTTCGGAATATTGGCGAAATATCGAATGTCACGAAGGAATTGAAAATTGATGGTTGCTATTGCTTGATTTTTGACGCTATTACATGAGATTCGTAAGAAGTTAAGACTCAAATTGATCGATGGAAAACCCGGCCATGAACGCTCCCCCATCCAACAATCTTCCACGAGATGCTCTCCAGCATTCTTCCCCAAAATGAGAAATCTGTGGCTCGTCTCCGGCAAGAAGGGCAAATAGTCATTTGAGCGGGTACAGAGACGACAGCTTGGACGTTATTTATTATTACTGTTCTCGCTACCCCTGGTATTTTATCGAAGCTTCTGGCAGGAATTGGGGGAGAGCGGAGTGACGGAACTGGAAATTTGAGTATTTGATAACTCAGCTGTTATCCAGGAGCTTTTAAGGTTAAGTTTCGGCGTTGTGGCGCATTTGTAATTGAATGATCAGGTCTTGAAATTTAATGAGTGGGAAATTCCCGCTGGTGGATGTTTTGTTCTCAACTTTAACTTCCTGATTCTCCTTCTACTTTTCCTGCCGATCCACCAATTGATCAACCATTCTAGGACTCCCATAGATCCCAGAGTTGGTATCGTCATTCATTCAACACATCGATCGGCGCATCTTCTTTCTCCTGCCACCTTCTCAATAACCCTCTTCCTCGAGGACCCATCCTCACCCAAGTACATCATAGGTTTCAGCACGAGTTCCAGTGAATGTTTGAGAGCGAATTTAGCATGGACAGAATTTTATTTGTGTGTCAGAGGATCTATAATGGATTAGACCTGATGTGGGATTATACGAATCTTGGTGACACTTTGTATGGATGATTGATGGCAGAAATCGAGGGCCTTATATCATTGGCTATGAGGATGGAGGGTAGCTAATGAGATGTGCAGGATAAGAGTGTGGTCGGGCGTATGTGTGTCCATGAAAATTTACATCAGAATGATTGTACCCACAACTTACTTATTACAATTCATAAACATTTCCAAACATTACAAATTCTACCAACGATTGGAATGAAATCTGGTAGGTATATCAACGGTAATATAGTCGAGACCAAAATACCATGTAGCTGTATGCTCCTAGTGTTATATCACCTATTTAATACCCATGCCTCTTTCTCACCTGCAGCTTTCTTATAATTGAATATTCCACCTCAAGCGACTCTAAATGAGAGGCCGTGTTTACTACAAATATTATATCTAGGTGCATGGAATAGTCTAAACAGGCTCATTTTTTCGGGTTCCTATGATATTATAAATGTAGATGTATACCAAGCTCAAGGAAATCAGACTATGGAAGGCCTCATCTATACACAGATTGAGCAATGAAGCCATACAACTGGTGAACGAACATAACCATATGGACCCTATTTTCAAGTCAGATTCATATTTCACCATTTTCGAATGACAGTCTCCGATGTATATTTATAATCTGATCCCCCCCCCTCCCCCCCCAAAAACACATATGGGCGACTTATATTTAATGAATCAAATTGTCCCAATAGTTCGGAGTTCAATCCAATAATGAGAACCCTCAAATTATGGCAAATCATCTAAGACTTTCAAAGATAGGAATTTCCTGATCTAGTCTGTTTGTCCTCTTAGATTTAAGGAAAGAAGATCCGCTGTGCAACAGTGAATTATACCAGGGCGAACAAATGAACTTTGTATTTAAAGATGGAATCAAGCAGAAAGATTCTGCGAGAAGAAGGAGAAGCTCTGAAGGGCAGGGAACGTAATGATTCGAATTCAGACTATACTTCCATTTCCTATGTACTCTTCTCCTTGATACTTTCAGGAGAAAAGAAAGATGTATCAGCTATTATCAATGGTATGTCGATGTCATGAATCCTCTCTATATTTTATTCATATAAAAGCTGGCGGAAATATGGCAGGAGGTCTGCAATTTTGGATCAAATACAAGATCGACGTAATCTTACTACATAAACTATCCAGATCCGATTTCGATATGAATGGCAAGAAAATAATAAAGTGATTGTTGTCTACAGCAGTCTTCAGACAGATGAAAAGGAGAAGATAAATAGAATGAAACACACGAAGCAAAACGAAAAAGCTGAGTACAATACACTAATGATGTGCCTACCCCCATATCCTTCAACCATCTATCCGATATCCTTAGTCTCACTGACCTTCCGTGCCCCCGATACCTGAACCCTTCATCCAAGTTCACACGTTTAGACTGCAAAAAAAAAAAAGGGATGCAAGAACTGCAAAAAGATATTCCGAATCCGGGAATCGAACCCGGGGCTACTCGGTTCAATGATCAGATGCTAGAAGCGGGAGATGTTTGAAAGCGAGTTATGTTAACCCCTACACTAATTCGGAGTGCTTGTTGATGCAAAGATGCACGTTATTAGAAAATATATTTGTGAAGAAAAAATGAGAAGAAGGGCGTAAAATAGGTGGAGAGCCTTCGATGAAAAAATGGAGAGCCTGAAGGGAAGAGATTTAAAGGTGGGTACGGGCTAAGGGGATCCAAGGGGGGCGAATTGTGAAGCGAGGTGGGGTCTTATATTGTTTTCACTGCAAATATCTCTTTGATACTCTCTCTACTTTATTGGACTGCATTTGATTCTCCGACCACATTTGCAATGCTTTCTTTGTGATTGGAACAATGATACACTATTTACCTTTCCTCCTTGAGTATTTCCAGTTCACACGCATGAAATCTCCTCAAGGAAGCATGTCTCAAGCCATACACGGAGCACAAACCACGAAAACTCGTAAGAGACAGAATATCAGAAACGCTCCCGGACATCCTCGCCAAGCAGTACAGTGGACCATGAGAAATTCGCCCGGGTGGAGAAGTGAGAGAGAAACCCCCACGGAAGCTTTATAAAATAAAACTTTTGAAGTTAAAAGTTGACGGACTGTATGTGACACAGGAATGTTACATGCATGAGGTGAAAGGAAATGGAAAAGAAGAGCAAAGGTTCAATAACTGGAAGTGGGTATTCTCTTTGATCAAGGTTCAAATGAGGGCTAATCCAGGTCTTCGAATGGTATATTGAGAGATTGTTTACAGCAATCATAATCTATCTCATGTAGCACTCCTTCGTAGAGCACATGCAACAACAAATATTTTGACTGACTCTTACAAAAAGGCCCTTCCTTCCCTTTCCTTATTACCTGTTGCGTACGATCTCATCCCTCTCTCCTTCACAACCGCTTAGCAGAGAGCCCTCCAAACCAAAACACAACTGTCCATCAATCATTTCACATAATTACAAGGTATGATTGATATCCATCCTACCAGATAGTAGAAATAACAAAAATACATTCCCAACCCCACCCCATCAACCATGAACCATCATCTCACTTCCCAAATCTTCCAAAAACCAACCCAACCACGCATTATTCCTTTCTGATTCAAAGCACATCGAGAACCACAAAGGTCAAAAATGCGTTCGCCGGGAATCGAACCCGGGGCCCATCGAGATTGACCAACGATTTTCTGATGAAAGTGGACTGATGGCAACGATGGATTTTACCACTAAACCACAAACGCTAGTATGCAGATAATTGCTTATTGATGGAGGATTTGGAGTCTTTTAATATATATTCCAGACATTTAATATTGCTTCAGGAGGCTGGAGCTTCAATGGAAATGTGGGCTGAAAATACGTACGGAGAATTAGATTGGATCGGGAGTTGAGAGAAGAATTTTCAAAAAGGTGGGGTGGTGGGGAACCGTTGAAATTTTGACATATCTTATCTTATCGGGCTCAATTATGAACAACGGCGAGCATCTAATATCTATAGATACCTAGTAGTATTGAAGATATCTATTGAAGTACGGAGTATCTAATAATGAATGACCTCCCTTCGAGTATCAAGTATCATCTAAATCCCATCTCATCTCCTTCATAACTTCCCTGACACAACACAATGCTTAGTCCGGGTAAGCAAACTACAGTAGCTACTAGCTACTAGGTAGTTAATTATTAGAGTCAATTTTTCACAATTCTAAATCCAAAGACTTTTCAGTTATTAAACTACAACTACAGTCCAGACAATTGGAACCCCAGGCTCTCTAGAACCATATCCATATTACCCCTCCACAAAATCTATACTCCCCACTAGCATGTATTATATTTTATATTAAGAGCCCTCTTCTTCATTAATACCATCACTTAGGGGCTGTAACTCAGTGGTAGAGTGCCTCGTTTGCATGTTCATAGATTCCTATAGAATTTCTTGACAATAATCGATGAAGTCCAGGGTTCGACTCCCTGCCGCTCCAAATTCTTTTTGTGTTGGTTTCATTTCGTTTTTTATTTCAAAGATTAGATCGTGAAAATGATGTTTTGGGCGGAGGGTGATGATGATTGATTGGTTTTTGCGTCTGTGGATAGATAGAGATGCTGTTTTCGTAACTGGGGAGGAATATTTTCCTGTTGTTTGGGTTAAATTTTATTTTTGCTCACCTCATTCATTCAATTACTTCTTCATTTATTTATATTTTTGAAATTCAGATATACATTATCTTGATGGAAAAACCAAAATCCCAATGTGCATCGAATCCCCGCATCACAATCCTTTAAAGCTCATTTCCCGGCGTATTCGAAGTCCCCTCTACAACCTATACCCTCACCATGTTTCACATTTTCTCTTAATTATGTTGGAGGTATTCATTTTTTGTACTCCTTATGGCGCGTCCATCTCGTGTTGAACGGGGAAGAGAGATAGATGGTTTATAACTTTGAATTCATATCACTGCGGCAGATTTAGTTAATTTAATTCAGATAGTAAAGTAAGCCTTAACATTAAACCCGGATAATTAAGGAATTATATTAGAGAGTTACGGAAGCCATATTTCCTCTTTAGAAGAGGTCGCTGGAAAAAAAAGGGGCCTTCTTAATTCCTCCTCCTCCTCACGAGGGTGCCCAATAGCCCGGACTAGCAGACCACAATGCGAACTTGAATGCTTGAAAAGCTAGAATGTCAATGTCCGGAGTGATTATGTTAGTGCGTTCATAGTTTCAATATCTCAAATGAAATTGACACCTGAAATCATTGCAATGTTCCGGATTCACCTCACAGCTTATCAACAGACTCAGAAATCAAAGGCTTCCCCATCGTTGTGCTGAAGTCCGGACCGTTGAACTGCCTTTTCTCCTTTCTTGTCCTGATCTTGACAAAATTTCTACCATTATCGCTCCCCTCCGCAAAAAAACACATGTCCTAACCTACCCGTCCCTCCATATTGAAGCCATCCTCCTATAGATATCCCGACCCTGTAAAGAAATTCAAAGGGTTGGGTTTGAGCCTGCCGAACAGAAGTAGCCCCCAAGAGACTTTCTATCCTCAGAACGCCATTCCATGAGAAACAGTGAACACTGCTTTCACCGACTATCAAATGGCATGTGAGCTTAACCCCCAGAGCCCTAAAACGACACACAGAAAATACTTCTAGAGATCATCTAGCACCTTGCCTACACCATAAAAAAGAATTGTCATCAAAAGATAAAAACAGAGTCATGACCAGACTGGGGCACGATCCCAGGACCTTGTCCGTATTTAACAGGTGTTAATTGTTAAGGACACGTGATAACCAACTACACCATCCGGCCAATTTTGTGTTTGCTAGGTGGGCAGTTGAATATATATTGCGTGCGTGAAGGTGGAGATAAGGTGGTGGGGGTCGAATGTGGAGCGATGCATAGGAGCAAAACTGGGTATCACTGGAACATTGTCTAGTGGTGCTGGACAAGAGATGGGTAGCAAAATATTTATGTACTTATTAGGCCCAAGTATCTTGTAAATGCTCAACCACATTTGGATTGTGCGAAACTATCCTTGATATCGATCGCCCTCGTAATGTGTATCAAGATATCAGGCTCAATTATTGCTCAGATTCATAAGCAGCTGCTGGATTTGATAGCATTGAAGTAGAAAAGAAAAGAAAAGCTTCAACTAATTATCATGGTAATATCAGGTATTGATCCCTGGCCTCGTTTCTCGTCGCCCTCCCACCTTCAAAATTTCCCTTCCCCAAGCCAAAAAGAGAGAAGAAAAAAAAGAAAGGAGAGAAAGGAAAGAAAAAACATACAACAGTAGGGATTCGCTGGTGGTCACCCACCCAACTACTAATCTACCGATCTGCGGCTTGTGTATGGCAGAGCGGACGGGATGCCCAATTCTCCTCAGTCTATGGTCGTATGTGGGAGTGATTCAAAAACTTAAACATATATTGGGTTACGATTGGTGTGACCTGCCAATCAATATGGATATGTCTCAACCTCGTCAATGCCACGTCGTCTACCTTATACATTACGATGCTCCCTTCAGCGGCAAAAATTAAAAAGAGGATTAAATTGAGTCACTGGAGATGCGGGATTATGAGCTTCTTGAATTCCAAACACGCGCTTGAGTGACCACTCGGTTGACAGATGAAGTAACTCTAAGTACCAGGGATATATAGAAAAAAACCATAAGCCTTTGTTTTTTACTAAGCTTCAAATGGAAATCAATTGAGGTCATAATTTCAAGACATTTTTTCAATATTGGAAGCAGAAAGGTTCATTCCTTATCATTGAAAGGTTTAGAAATTAAGAAGTACCCAAATCAAAGACATTCCCCGTCAATCGTGGCCTAGAAGGCATCAAGGTACCACCGACGCCTAAGCTGAACTTCCAACTTTCCAAGAAACGAGTAGTTGTCACACAAACGTGTAAGCTCAACGTGCATAAAGTTACATCCACTGGCAAAGGGTCAATTGGTATGTTGAATATCAAACGGGGTTATTGCCATGCTCGCTTGAGTATTGGCTACAGGTATACGTAAATATACGATCGGGTACAACATCTTAGATGTTCATCTGACGATGACAATATGACTGATATACGATTCGATAGGGCAAATGGAGGGTACAATGAAGAGGCTGATATAGAGTCGGGTAGGAAGGGTCACCGCCCATAACTTTCCGAATGTAGGCAGATCGATGGAACATTGAAGGGTACTGATTTCTTGTTTCTTGGTGAATGGCTTGTGAAGAATGGTAAAACTGGTAAAGCCGAGGTATCCGACAAAAAGGGGAGAATTGCAATCGGCCAAAGCCCCATAGAGTTCGGACGAGAATGTCGAATGGTGAATGTGTAATGTCGCTCTTCCGAGATAATTGATGAAATAATGAGAAATATCTCTCGGGCTCCATTTGATCGTTGACCTCGGCGCAAAAGTGTCATCCTAAGTCTCGTGGCTCTTGAATTACGGCAAAACAATGACTGTTTGACATCCTACGCCAGTCCTTTCGCCACGTAGACAAGACGAATTGACGGGTGGCTCCATAATATGTATGTATTTTTGATGAGAAAGGAAGGTAAAATAGGCCGTGAAGAAATTTTGGTCGGTAACATGTTACTTCGTACAGAGTAGAGATGAACAATTGAGAAGATCCAAAGCATTGTTTGAATTCGACTCGACCCCTTTGCACTTAATACATGGACGGACTACTTAGTAGGTGCATATTTGAAGGTTAAATTCGTTAGATATATTTTGATGTTGGAGTCTGATTCTCTCATTCTCTCGAGGCAAAGAGAACATGCCGAGGGTAACATCAAAGGTAGAAAGCATTCGAGCTCAGTAAGCTACGGCTGTTGCAGGTAAGTAATAGGTGGTCCTCCCATACAAAAAATGTGTGGATGCCACTGAATGGACTCATCCGTCGAGAATTCAAATAAAGTTAGCCCAGTCAACCTGAGGTAGATAGATAAATAGACAACTGTACTAGAATTGGTCAAGGCAAAAGCGACATTGAAGACAACTTCTCCTACGTCTCCTACGGCATCTTTGGAAAAAGTTCCTCATTGATTACAACACTATATTTTGATTCCTGAGGAATTTATATACGAGTACTTAGACCCATTAATGCTGGTTGTTGTCTATGAATATCTTCCATCTTCCTGGTCTAGAACAATTGACGCGCAATAATTGTCTAGACCAGGAGGAATTACCCATATATGTATGGCATTGTATGGATCCTTCACCAATCGATGAATTCCAACATCCAAAATATAGAAATAAGTGAGCACATTTCCAACTTCCAAGTTATTTGATTGTACTCCGTGCAGATAAATGGAAGATATCAGAAAGATATCTTGTAATCAGGTCTCCGCAGAAGCAAGTAATATGTATGAGGTTAGTTATTATGCAGAAAATGAAATTAGATAGATTTTTTATATATCATGATTTAAAGGATTTTAGAAAGTTAACCAAGTATCTATCTGTAGGTTCTCCCTCTGTACAATCTATCGACTGATAGAACCTATTGTATATAAATATATATGTATAAATGTATTATTATATAATATATATATTGAAACAGAATAATAAAAAAATGCCAATTGATATCTGTCCTATCTTAACGTTCTTGTGAGTACAATCAATTGATAATTCCATTCATTCCATTGTTTGTCGAATCCTCAATCTCTCAATGCTCCGTAAAAGATTACATATTCCGTCCTGTTCCTAAATTGAAAATGTTTTGAGCTAGCTAGTACCTTTCCCCCGAACTCGATCCGCCATTTTATTATTAAAGGAATTTTTCCATCCTTTCCCATGGTGACATTTGATCAAATAACGTCAAACGCCAAAACGCCAAAACGTCAACATCAATGTCAATGTCAATGTCCATTTGAGAGTCGAGGAAAAAGAAATCAACAAAAGACAATGAAGTAATAACTCTTAAGCAATCCCACCTCTGCTCAGCCAATTACCTCGATCGAATCACCAACGCAACAAACCGATATCTCATCAAGCATACATCAAACATACATCAATCAGTTAATCCATCATTCACTCATTCAATCGTTCAATCGATCAATTCCAAGATATTCTCATCTCAGAGATCTACTCGACCATTATCCTCTTATATCCCATTCCTATGAGAATGTCTCGAGATCTTTCTCAGAATTGAAACATATTTCATCATTTTATTTTCTTCTCGCCGATCCTATTCGTCGATTACCAAATTTATCCTTCCCTCAACCGAACATTTCCAACCAACCGGCCGCCGCATATTCGTTTTTCTTTTCTTTCTAGACGTTTGAATAGAAAATTCCTTCCGGCAGATTTGCAGATCATGGATGAAGCAACCAGGCTCGTAGGGGAGCTTTCTAAGAAGCTTACCGAACTGGATCACAAGGTGGACTTATATCGAAAAGATATGAATAAGGAATTTATTAAGTATGAAGAGGATTTATTGAAGAATGTTTCTCCCAATGTTTCCAAGGAAGTTTCAAAAATCGTTGCCGAAAAATTAAAGAATTACAAGGCTCTTTATCCTTTCGTCTCTTCTAATAATAACAATAATCCAACCGATAACTTTGACTCATACGCCATTGGCACAGGCACAGGTCCAGGTCTAGGCACAACAAACACAGGCACCGTCACAGGTACGGCCAACAACAACAACAGTCACAGTTCCTGCAATACAACCACGGCTACCGCCACGACCACGACCACGAACGCAATCACGAGCTCCCGTGCAGATGCAAATCTGATGACAAACGGACTTCCCAAAGCAATGAACTCACCATCAAGTACCGCTACCTCGGCGCAAACAATTCCTAATCATACGAGAAAAGAAGAAGAAGAAGAGATTGACCGCCCAAGAAGTCCACATGCGCGAGAGAAGGAATTTACAGGAGTCTTTACACCAAGTTATCTGCCATTGTTAGAATCCAACAGTCGATACGATCCAAGATCCGATTCGATTATTGAAGTAGATAATAAGTCAAGAGATACACAAATGGATACCTCGTCGCTGTCGCAGTCGCATGTTGATGCAAGTACAGATACTAGATCCTTGAATCCTTCTCCAGATCTAACACGTCCTTCAACACCCAAAAGAAAGAACACGGATGAAATATCAATCACATCCAACAGTAGCAGCGATGGACCTCGTCGCAGGAGCGCTTTACGAAGAACATCCAGCAATTCTAAGAATACAAGTCCTCGAAGAGTTCGTTTCGATGTAGAGGGAGAAGAGGTGTTGCCAACTTCATCGCCCAAGGAATTGGAGCCCATCCTTCCGCCCTCCTTTTCGGATGACTCAGATGATGAGGCTGGTTCGGAGATGGTCGAAGACATTGATGCGCCACCACCAAAGAGAATATCTTCTTCACAAGCATTACGAGCTTTATCCAGAGGGCCCCCGGAGGATGATGGAACACAATGGACCACCGTAGTTGCCCCGCCAGACGGGTCAGCTTCAGTTGATACTTTGGAAGATGACGATTCTACAAGCAATTACTTCGATTCTAGATCAAGCCCCCCAGCCTCTCGCGACGAAAATATCCCGCCAATTTCTACACCGATCCCAATACAAATCACCATGCCCGAAGTTGAAGCGCAAGCTCAAGTAAAGCATGTAGAGGTTTTACCAGAGGAGGATACAGATGCTCTATCGGAGGATGATATGTTAGATATGCCACCTCTACGGCAAATGAGAAGTCAAAATAAACAACCTGCTCGCATTCTATCGCCGAGGAAGAACGAAAATCCAGAATCGGCAATTTCTGCCTTGAAGATCAAGTCGCCAAACAAACCACTTACACTCGAGACCTTAGAGCCTAGTGGAGAGAGTGATGAGAAGTTGGACAACTTAACCTTCCAAGATGACGAACAAGAAGATCTGTTTTCCTTTGACGAAAACCCAGATCGCGGAAGCCGACCTCAAGATGAAGAAGATGATTCAGATGTAGAAGCACCTACCTCGCCTAGTATTGAAGAGAGTCTTGACAATCTTGAGCTTTCAAAATCCCCTGCTCGTCCGATTCCACATAGCTTCATTAATCACAAAGCAACGATAGCTCCAGCCCCTGCACATGGAGTTGTTGGTTCCTACAAAGGTCGCCCATTCAGTATGCCTGTTGTCAACGATGAGGTACATGCCAATGCCGCATCAATGGGAGCAATGAATTCATTCGTTGGAAGTGTCAACGGTCGCAGTGGACTTGACGCAAGTGATATCTTAAGCTTTAGAACAAGTGGAGGAGTGGGTAGTTTTTCCGGAACCCCAAAGAGCATGAGTGAAAGGATGATGATGGATGATTTGATAGAGGCTGAAGGAGAAAATCAGAAAAGTTGAGATCGAAAGACCCAGCATTGAAGGATTTCATGAAGTCGAATCAGGAACTCGGAGGCAAGCATATTGGAACTCATGGATGGCATACAGCCTACGGGAAATTGGTTCATGGTGTGTATTTCTGTGTGTATTTTTAACATTTGCATTTCTGGCGTTCTACAGGTCATCGATTTCGACGTCATCAGAATATGACGAATGAGGAATCTGATGATTTAGGTATGGCATGAGAAAATGGGTGCATCGTTTTTTTCTTTGGAGCTCTCAGCCCGGTTCGGCTTCACAAATCCGTGAGATCCGTGAGCGGAATCAAGGCATATTTCACGCATGAAGTTATTGGAGTGGAGATGGCGAGAGGGGTTGGAGATGTCAGGTCAGTGGAGTGAATCAAATGATTAAAATCAAATTCGCACTGGATGATGAATGGATTGTATATGATCGCATTGGTTATGTACTAGGTAGGTAGGTTGGTGGGTATTTACTTAATCATCGACATACCAGCTACATACCTAGGTAACCTTACACACATAACAATACATGCTCATCTATTCCCAATGAAATATTTCTCTCAATTCATTATTATTGAAGGGTGATTTCAATGAAGTCTAAAATCTATTGGCAGGGGAAATGGGGGCTTTGAGCTTGAGGTAGGTGTTTTTGTCTTGGTTCGTGTATGTATATGTATATGTATATGCGGGGTAATGAAATGAGATGATAAAATATCCTTGTATCTGCATTTAGCCGTGTATCTATCTACTTCCCCCTCATTGCTCTTTACTTGCTTCTAGAACAAATTCTTAACTAGTCGGGGAAATGAATGTATGGGATATATTGAGTATCAAGTATGAAGTATTGAATGTTGAGTACTGAATATTGACTTTTGAACTAGGGATATTAGGTGTACTGGATATAGGTATGTACGGAAGGGAGTGCAGGAGATGGATGCCCTGGTATAGATGAGGTAATGGGTGTCTAGTAGGTACAGTACCCCTCCACTTATATTAGCTGACATCTAATTTTACACCAAAAAGAACTAAATTATACCATTTTCATTTAAAGATTTTGATGTAATAAAGAACTTTTATAAAAAAATTTTTATAATATTAATTAGTTTTATGTTACGAAGTAACAGCTGATCTGTCCATACGAGCTCGGACCATTTGGAAAAGCAAGGAGATTCACATACAAACTGTATGGCAATTGACTCATGTGGTCTCCCCACCTTAAGCAAGCACAGACATCGAATCTGATCGAAAACACGTGATCAAGGATTCCCACCGAGCTGAGGATTCCCAGTATGGTGGGAAATATTCCCTCCCACCTTGATAGAACGATAGAGAGCAGTAGGATCCATAGTACAAAGGTCTATATAACTGAAAAGAGTATCCTTATTGTAGAGCTTCGTGCTCAAGATCAATCATTTAGTATACTCTACTATTAGTTACGAATTGTATATCATTATTTGTCATTACTTAAGTCCCTGCTTGACGCCTAGTTATAAACCACTTCGAGAGCCTAGAGCACTTCCACGTGATCTAGACGGCAAACCTCGTAACACTGGATAGATCGAGGAGAACTTATTTTATTTATTTTATTAGATATATAATCAATTAAAAGGTTGAAGAACAATGAATATCAAAATAACCTTGAAAATATCTTAAATTATATTGATTGGCTTTATAGTATGACTCAACTTTCTTCAAAAAATAAATTATATAATGAAGCCAGCCTTTATTATACGTTATTGTGATATAGCCCTGCTTTACGTAAAGCCCCCGTCCCTAGTGGCTAGGTGGATGAAGCCTGGAGGGAGGGGGTATGAGGGGTATAGGACAGGCGGTTGGGTGGTGTGAGAAGGAGGGGATGAGGAGGAGATGAGAAGGAGGGGATGGAATGAATGGCTGATATGTTTGGGGAGTTTGTTGGGGATTGGATTGGGCGTATAAGAGTGCTGAAGATATCTGGTAGCCATCTACAATCTCAGATGAAGACTATAGTTTATGAATCTGAAGGGCTAGCTAAATATATATATGAACTGAATAGGAATTAATATACGTAGAATGGATAGGAAAGAATGAATAATACCCCATGAATGGCTGGTTACTACTGCAGGCCAAGATTCTTCTAACGGGTATCCTGCAGCGGATGCTCGGTATTTGGGCTATCCGGGCGTCTGGCTCGGTTTGGACCTTATTTCTCGGGAGGAGTGTGCGCCAAGTGACTTGACGGATTGAATCAAAGGGGGATACACAATGCTAGGCGAAACGGAGTTCCATGGTTTGGTTAATTTAAAGTTTAGTTTACTACTTAGGAAACATGCAGGGGGTTAATGTGGAAATGTCAAACTCCGCTTGACGCGGCTTTCAGGGGTTACACGGAGATAAAAATGCCCCTTCTCCAATTACAGCCACTCCTTTGTGCTTAGTTGTTGCTAAGTCCGCACTTTTGCGGACGGAACTATATAGCACACTCCACTTTAAGCACGTATCACAACAACAATTACCCTCTTACTGACAAAGTGTGCTTATGCTGTACTTTCCGACCATACGAGTGAGTATATGGAAGAATAGCCTACGATCAGAAATATACTCCGCATATACTCCACGTAAAGAGTACCGAATACCTCGTTTTCGTATCGGTTTATCATCTAGCTAGGTGATGCTACGGCGCATCAACGGCATATCACAATGATGCATCATTCCTGATTCATCCATCAACAGTATTCAACTGATTATTCAACAATTCCGATATGTTTACGATATACCTATGCTCGCTTAATATCAAAACTAACTAACATCTCAAGAATTTCAACGACATACTCCGTACCGTCGGTTGAGCAATACACCGCCGATTAACGAAGTCACTTTCATATATCCTCTTCTCGACAGGATGAACAAATGAGTGAGGGACAAGTGAAACATTTGCTGCAGCCACTATGTGACCTATAACTAGATAATGGATGACTCATAACGAGTCATGGCATTGACCAACGTGCGTATGTTCTGCAAGAATGAACGGCGTTTTAGAAATCCTCCGAGATCATCAAGATCGAGACGTTTCGTCTCCACTATAGTATTAGCCCTACCCGTTCAATCATATTACTGATCCCGAGGATGACGTGCCCTGTGTCGAAAAATGGGATTGTTTGGTTTGAGGATGTTGATCAGGAATATGGAGGGAAGAAGGTTTTGACGGGATGTGAGTCGAAATGAGTTAGTATGCTACAGCTTAGGAACGATAAATTCATTGAATGAAAAAAAAATAAAAAAAAAATAGGGATAAACAAAAAATAATCATTTGATCTTTCGAAAGTCTTCAATTTAGAAAAAAAAGTATTTTTTTAAAAAATTATATTCTTTATTATTTTTATTTTCAAGATATTAAAAAGTATAGAGCTTAATCTTTATATATTCTAAAAGCTTTAATTAAATTCATGTACTTTCTTTCTTTAAATAATATATATACTTTTAAATTTCTTATTTTGTACAAACCTTGAAATAATGATATCAAAAATATATAATTTATATATCAAATTCAAATACTAGAACTATTAATATTTATTTTAAACAGATATTTTACCTCTTTATTTAAACAATAAAGTATTTGTTAAATTCAATACCTACTGGAATATAAAATTTATGAAAAAAAAAAAAAAATAGAATCTTAGTCCTTTATTAGCTCTAGATATTCTAAAGTGTTATTGAAAACTGGGTTCAATGCTTCTACTTTTTCACTTCCTTTTCCACTTAGGGGTGCATTTTTTTTGGCATCATGTCGCAGTAATCTTATTCACGTCTAGGTTGAGAACAGGTTTGCAGCCAGGAGATTGGTGCAACTCTTATTTTGTCAGGTTGACCATTCGATAGAACATTCGCTTCAACGGCAATGTGATACCATGTCTCTTGCCGATCGATATGAGTCTTGACCCTCTAACACAAGGAAATGGGACGGGGATGAAAGACCTTGTACGGATATTTCATAAAGTGCGTACCAATTGCAATCCATTCGATTACCCTTTGTCTTTACTTTCCTTGTGTATTTTTAGCAAGCGGAGTTCGGATAGGCTTTTTTTCTTGTATACCCTTGTTTTTATCTTAATGTTATTAACATTTTTCTACTTTTCAATGCATGTGTTATTGGATCCTAGGATGTAAATGTCTGCAAACATCTACACCTGCCGTTGGAAACATGTATATATATACATACTCTCGCCTCAGTTGGCTCAAGTAACTCCTCTACTTTCATACCATACGAAGCTCAGAGTTGATCTATACAATATCCTTCAAAATGTCACCACCATTCCTCAACGAAAGTAAAGGGACGACCATGTCACCAGTTCTCCTAGGTGCTTCAGCATTTCTCCTCCTAGCCTACGTTGTTCGAGCTATACTTGCTCGACCTCAAAAGTTGGATTTTCCAGTAGTGGGCAAGCCCGGTGATGCTAATTTTGAAGCGGCATTGCTTGAAGGAACCGCAAAAGTAAGAATCTTTCCACACCATGATGCCCTCCTCTTATCCTAGCATATAAACTCACAAGGGACAGTACCCCAATACCCCCTACATCATCCCAAGTGTTCCCGAATTGGTCGTCCTTCCCATGTCCACTCATGATGAAATGCGCAACCTCCCAGAAGACAAAGCATCTTTCATGCAAGATTTATCCCACGTATTTTTTGGAAAACATACAGGAATCGGTGAAAATACCCCCCCTTTAATCAAAACTATCAAGGCCGATTTGACTCGTCATATGGCATCTACTGTCGAAGCTCTTCAAGACGAAGCGCGCTATGCATTGAATGAATTCGGCAGTTGCGAAAATTGGACCAAGGTTGATTTGACGAAAGCAATACCAAGAATGGTTGCGTTACTGAGTGGTAGAGCTTTTGTTGGAAAACCATTGAGTCGAAACGAGGAATGGATTAACGCTACTGTCGATTATACTGTGGACACTGTGAAGGCAAAGGACGAAGTGCTCCAATATCCGGCCTTGATTCAAAATTTGGCGGTGTCCTTCTTATCCCAGATTAGAACGGTGAAGCAACATAAGAGTAAGGTGGCAAAGTTGTTGAGACCAATCATTGAGGAGTGTATGCGAAAATTCAAGGAAGAGAAGACAGCTGATAAGGAATCGAGTGACGGATTTGATGATAATCAGGGGTCTTTCATCAGCTGGCTTTTGAAATGGACAGATGAGAAGAGTAGAGAAGACCCTTTTGCGTTGGCGGACACCCAGTTGATGTGTAAGGTTTCATTTCCTTTCATCTTTTATACCTTTTTGTTTCGAGTCTGATTCTTCTTACTTTCTCGGGCTATAACTGACCAAGGATAGTGTCTTTTGCTGCTATTCACACAACGTCCATGGCCCTTTCGCACATACTATATGATATCGCTTCTCACCCGGAATTCATTGAGCCTCTCCGCGAAGAAATCGAGCAAGTGATTGCAGAAGATGGGGATGAGATTGATGGTAGTGGATCGACAAACTTAAAGAAGCAGTCATTCGCCAAATTAAAGAAATTGGATAGTTTCATGAAGGAAAGTCAGAGATTCAGTCCTCCAGCTTTGGGTAAGTTTATAGGATCTATACTTTTTTCTGATACATTTCAAGAAAGAGTGCATATGGAAGTGGGAAACGCTAAGAACTCATTTACTAACAAACTATAGTTACAAACTTTCGCCGAACTACTTCCACCCTCCACCTTTCTACTGGCCATACGATTCCCAAGGGAACCCGAATATGCTACGACACCGTTTCGGTCAACATGTCCAATCCCGACCTCTCTTCCATTCCCCACGACCCCTCCAATGTTACCTCACTTGATCCACCTACCACCTTCTCTCCCTTTCGCTGGTCATCACTGCGCGACACGCCTGGCAATGAATCAAAATTTCAATTTGTAACGACAAGTAAACAAAGCATGAATTTCGGACACGGGGTATGTTTGTTTACTTAGTTCTCTGAATATCTTGTTCTTAACATCCAAGTCTTTTCTTCAATTTTAAACCAAATTTAATGTTTCCTTACGCACACTCTTTTGTATTTCTAACACAGTTCTGATTCCCCACTCCCCTTAATCCCATTCAAAGTCATTCATCAATGGCAGCCACTGACCTCTAATCTAACAGAATCATGCATGTCCCGGTCGGTTCTTCGCGGGGTTGGAGTTAAAGGTTGCGATCGTCGAGCTTTTAAGAAATTGGGAATTCAGGCTAGTGGGAGATGAAGGGGCCAAGGGGGGAGAGAGACCCAAAAACCTTGTATACGATGTCACCATCATGCCAGACCCCGTTGGCCAGCTTGAGTTCAGGAGGAGGAAGTTTTAGGAACTTACGGTCTGTGGAGTAGTGAATTGAGATATGGAGAGAAGGTATGGATGGATGAAAAGAATGGGTTCATAATGGAGCAAATGGATGGGAATTGGAATGTAGGATCTTAGATTGTTGATCGAATGGGGTTTAGGGCTTCTTTTGGCTACTCATTTTTGTTTTCTATAGAATTTCTTACTCTTTTTGTTTTTAACAAATTCCACTCTTTTGAAAAGTCATTCAAGTTACAGCATCAATGGTTTCTAATTCGTTCTATATATTATTCAATAAATAATCTTTTGTTAAATCTATTGAAATCGATAAGTTATAATCGATAAGTTATAACGTGGTTTATCAGCGAGCGGGCCATATCACCGAGCGGGCCACTTTTACCTCAATTTATATCTTTCAACTTCAATACGCGATTTATCAACAAAATATTATGGAATCGAATAATCAAGAAGGTCGAATACTTTTAGCTATCGAAGCTATCAATAAAGACCAAAAATTAAGCATTCGGAAGGCTGCTAAGCTATATAATATCCCGCGTACAAAGATTCAGCGCAGAATGGACGGTACTACCCCTCGTATCGAATCTCGAGCAAATAGTCATAATTTGACCAAATTAGAAGAGGAAGTACTTATCCAGTATATAATCGATATGGATGAGAGAGGGTTTGCATCTAAATTAAATGGTGTAGAAGATATGGCGAATTATATCCTCGAATCGCAGGGTGCGAAGAAGGTTGGAAAGCTCTGGGCTCATCGCTTTGTTAAACGATATCCAGAATTAAAGACATGTTTTAATCGCGTTTATAATTTTCAAAGAGCTCTCTGTGAAGATCCCAAGCTTATTGAAGAGTGGTTTAGATTGGTATCGAATATGCGGGCGAAATATGGTATTGTCGATTCCGATTTTTACAATTTCGACGAAACCGGCTTCATGATGGGTATAATATGCCCTGGAATGGTTGTAACTAGTGCTGAACGAAATGGCAAAAGCAAGGCAATACAATCAGGCATTCGAGAGTGGGCTACAGCAATTATATGTGGCAATGGAGAGGGTGAAACTATACCTTCATTTCTAATAGTTCAAGGACAAGCTCATCTTTCCAATTGGTATATCGAAACCGATTTTCCTGCGGATTGGGTTATTAAATCTACTTCCAATGGATGGACGAATAATGAGATAGGGTTAGAATGGTTAAAGCATTTTGATAAATATATTATTCGTCAAAGGAAGGGCAAATATCGAATGCTAGTATTGGATAGGTACGAAAGCTATGAATCAATACCTTTTCAATCATATTGCAAATCAAATGATATTATATGCCTCAAATTACCACCACATTCAAGTCATTTAACTCAACCACTTGATGTTGGATGTTTTGGCATACTCAAACGTTCATATGGTTATCAAATTGAAGGATTTATCAAAGCTCATATCAATCATATTACCAAGGTTAAATTCTTTATAGCCTTCAAAGCTGCATATTTACAATCATTTATTATTCAGAATATGAAAGCTGGTTTTCGAGGAGCAGGTCTAATACCATTCGATCCTCAATCTATACTTTCAAAACTAGATATTAGGATTCGTACTTCTACCCCTTCATCTACCTCCTTGGAACTTACCAACTCCTGGATCTCTCAAACCCCTCATAATCCAACTGAGGCTCTCTTACAATCAACTTTAGTAAAAGCTCGAATAACTCGTCATCAATCAAGCTCTCCTACACCTATATTTGAGACTGTACAAGCTTTAGTTAAAGGTATAGAGAGATTAGTATATGAAGTTATATTTTTGAGTGTTGAGAATCGTATGCTTCGAAGAGCAAATGAGGTATTAAGTAAACGTCGACGCGCTAAAAAAATTCAACTACGTAATGGAGGAGTACTTACTGAATAAGAAGCTGAAGATATATTATCACAACAAGAGGTTGATAATCAGATTCAACACGACGAGCGTCAAAATGGGGGAAATTTTAATAGGGAATCATCTACTAGTCGATGCTGTAGTAAGTGTGGAAAGACTGGTCATAATTCAAGAACTTGTCAGAATAGTATAATAGATCCTAGATTATTAGATTCTTGATAGTTTCAATCAATTGATTTAATTGTTGTTAAATAATATGGGTTTGAAATGATAAATTGAGGTAAAAGTGGCCCGCTCGGTGATATGGCCCGCTCGCTGATAAACCACGTTAAAGGAAAATTGAATATAAAAATTATATACAAGACTTACATTTATAATCAAAAAATTAAAATCATCTTCTTTAACTGAGTAATTAATCAGATAAACATAATGTAATATAATTTAATAAATTAAAACCTTTTATAACGTTAAGATCTATTCATTAAAGCTTCAAAGTTTTAAAGTATATAATAACAATTTATAAAAAAGAATAAACTTTTTATTATAGAATATATTTCACAAAAAAAGAATTATTTTATAGAAAAGAAAAGATTATTGGACGGATTGTAGCAGTGAAAAGAGCTCTTAAACACAAGATTCTTATAGTTAACCCACTGATAATATATTCTTCTGAGTTGATTGATGAATGCATAGTTCTTCTTCCGTCCGAGTTTCATACTGGGGCGTAAATTGCTATTCTTGTATAAGAGTCATTTAGTATATTCGCATAGCTCCGTTCCTAATCCTTCCGTGTTTATGATCTGTAGGACAGCCTCTTTTTCCAATGCTAGGTTGTCTCTGTGCTGTGGGAAATTTTCTTTATTCCTAGTGCTAGGTCCTCTGTCCTTAAGAAATGATCACAATCTCAGCGTTGATCTAAATGCTGGTTTATAAGATTCTGTGGATCTCCGAACCTTTTTACTAATATACTGTGTTCGGGAAATCGTGGGGATCAGTCTTTTCGGTACATAGGACTTAAGTATCCGGCCATTCTATGATCCGGGGTGGTATTGTGAATAGAGCAGGATGCTAACATTTCCAAATCCCAAAAGTGTGGTCGTCCTCTTGTGCTGTGTTGGGTTGGGGGAACCTTAGGCATGCCAATCTCTTCAAGAGTTTATAAAACAATAAGCTAGAGGAACAGAAAGGAACCAAACCTTGTAGTCTGATGATGCAAAACCCTAGTTCTGCTCCCTACATAAACGTAGAACAAGAGTGAGAAATCAGGGAAAATTTCTGCAAAAGTCATAAGAAAGATAAAATGCAGGGAAAATAAGGCAGAAAAGCAAGAAAATTGGGAACTCCGATTATTAAATATAAGGACAATTTACGGACACAAAATCACCACAATCTATCATTAAAATCATATTCGGGCACGATCCTTCCTCCTTACTTTTCTCGTTTGTACGCGAAAGGTTAACCGAGAGTTTTAGTGTCTCGCAGGAATTCCTGTGATCTCACCAAAGAGAAGCTTTTTCGGCAATGAATTTAGTTTTAAACCCGAGTCAATGTACAATTGTCATCAAGTTAAATTCACTATATAATCGTTTCCAAAGTCCAAGTGGAGTGAGTATCTTATTCTTCTCCTACCGCAGACCGGAAAACGACAATCCAATGACCGTTGGAAAAGAATATTTCGCACACCTTGTACTCAGTAAGCCTCGAAGAATGTGAGATAACCATTATGTTATTAATGATTCCAGGCCTCCACATGCGTCTACGAAAGCTTAAAGGTTTTCTTGACGATAGAGATGATAGAGAGCTCCGACTTTGTTATCCCTAAGAAAGCAAAAAATACTTCCCAGTGTGACGGAAAAGTCGTAAACGGAGTCAATTCAATTACTTAGAATCTAAAACTAAAGAACTAAGAAGATTCTAAGTAAGAAGGTCTTTATATACAGGGCTAGTGCACGTGAGCCACTAGTGGGTAACAACCGTCACGTAACACCCAGAAACATTTTTTTATTGATTTTGATCTTCATAAAAAGAAAGAAATGAATTCAAAATTGATCAAGTTTAATTAAATATACTTCTCATATAATTTCGAATTATATTTCAATTTTATAAGTTTAAAACACTTTCTAAAAGAATAATTTAAATGAAAATTACTAGTTTAAATTATAGATTAAAATTATCAATATTGAACTAATTTTCAATCAAAATTATTAGTTTTAAGCTAAAATTATTAGTTTTGAATTAAAACTTTTTAAATGATTATATATTTAAAATAGATTCTATTAATATTATTTGAAATATTCTTATAACATAATAGTAAAGTGGATAATCTAAATAAAAATAAAATCTAATAATTCTGAAAGTGATTAAAGATCGATCGAATATGATTAGCAATCAAAAGTTAGGTGATTTTTGAAGACGAATGATTATATGATGGAATAGTGATGGTCTCGTTCTTGTCGAATTCAGAATATCCGTATTTTCTATGTATACTGTTCTTCAATATTTAGGAGTCCGGGTTTTGGATACTTTCCTAAAAAATGTGTATACATGGTATACTTCATATACAAATTTAAAGACACTTTCAGGAAGTACCTATATATTTGAATAGGAAGTACTTTCTGCTTTCTTTGGGTATGCACTCTGCTTCCCTCACCACCATCAACTCGAGAAACCAAATTCGATCTCTTAACACTTCTTCAGTGACCTCCACCAACATCATCCCGATCCATAAAACTCCGTAACCTGTCCTGCCTTCTTCATCTCAAACTCAAATAGAAGCTGTATATCTATTGGGTTTCTTGAGACCAGAAAGAGCATCAGATTGAATTGATTGATTCTCTAGCTAAGCAGTTAAGCTGCGAGTATATATTCAAAAAATGAAGGAATAAGGTTAGTGTGTGAACGAAGTGAATGACTTCAATTCAATTACTACTGTAATAAAGAACTAAGCGAACGCGAAAGAGACTAGCTCTTTTAGTAAGTCTATATAAGACTTACTACTTTCAATATGTAGCTAGCTCTTTAGACAGAATACAATTAGACATACAGGACCTACGTAATCCGTGGGTGCTACGTCTTCCGTATCCTTCTCGTACCAACAGTTAGGTATTCAGCCTTCGGAATTAAAGTGCTTTGAAATCAAAATATTGAAAGCAAACAAACAGCATACCAAAAAGGAAAGAATGAATTAAAAGTTGAGTTTTGTTTGCTCCTTATATGCATCATGCAATATATATGCATATGCTGCCAAGATCCCAGGAGGTCAACAATATCCCTTCTAAATATCCTCCCCCTCGGCTACGTGCGCGAAAGCTTTCACTCGGGGCAAGCTCTAAACTTTGGTCTAGTACCTGGTCTGCAAAAAATGGCTTTACTACAATTAGTGAGCAAAGCGGATCCCACAAGCTCTATTTTCATGCCTGATCCCGCTAGAAACCACTGGCACTGCTGAATACCGCTAAAATATTTTCTATCTGAGGCCACCTTGCAACTAATATTCTTGTTGTCAGTAGAGGAGGAACATGCTTTGTAGAACAATAGAATTTAGCAAGGAGAAGAACTGAAGGTTTGAGCCAATTGTCAAGAAGACTTCGATGCACCGAATTAACCTTCGCTAGTCTATTTTGTGTCTTTAATTGAAAAGGGTGGGATGGACTTGCACAATAAGATAGCCTACTAAGCTAAAGAGACAGGAAAAATTAAATGCATATGAAACGAACGAAGTACTTTGAGTCACCTCGTTTGAGAGTGTATTAATAGCTTGACGAGTGAGGAGTTCACTTCGAGGAAACAATGATTAGTAAAGGGATTGTCGGATTCTGATGACTTGAAATATTGAGTTGCGGGCCTATTGGTACTATGAGAGCGGAAATTTTGGGAGAATGGCAGAGAGAGGAAAATGTAATCCGGCGGGAAGGTGATACTGTGATATATTGAAAAGAGGGATTGAGGAGAGGAAGAGGAAAGAAGAAGAGGTAGGAATTCGATTTGCTTGCCCTAGCTATGAGTATATTGGAATATTAAGGCTTGTGATATTGAATCAAGTGTGAAGTACCTAGTATTTTGAAGAAGGAAGATTAGATATGATTGTCTATCAGAAGCTAGTTTGCATCAGAAACGAGCAGTTTGGATAATTTAAGTTGGATTTATTTTGTTGGAACAAACTGATGGTATAGAAAGATCAATATAGTATGGAAAAACTGAGATGGGTAGAGATGGTAAATAAGAATGGGAAAGGACTGAGAGAAGGTCTAGTAACATCAAATTCCGAGATGAAAATAATACGTCTCACATGCAACCGCCTTTCAAAACACCAAAACGATATTTGCTCAAACAGTCCTAACCTTCCGAGGATAAACTAGAATAGATAGAAAGCCACAAATTGACTGACTCCATGATAATAAGGCATTCAAAAGATCTGGGGTGGATGGAGAAGAAATAATTGGATTGAATTGTTATAGCTTCGCGGTAATCCCATTGATCAGATATGCAACAAAATAATTAGTTTAGGAGCTAAGGCGATGGGAGTTATAATAATGGGGATTGTTAGTGGATGTCGAGGTGAGTATGGAGTATGTAGGATGGTTTTTTGGTAGTGAGGTTTATACTTTCTAGATAGTTTTGTTGCATATCTGAATTTCTGTCTCAGACTTCACAGGTCGAATTTTGGGACGCAAATAATGTGTCTTGAAACTGTGTTGAATGACTTGAAAATTAGTATATCAATACTATAGAAGCAAAAATAAATTATCATAGAGTATTGAAATGTAAATAATGCGTTATTGATTTAATACGAAATTTCGACTTGAGAATTGTGATTTTGATACCTCAGATTAGAATTAGAGATCTTGGACCAGGTTTTATTGCACATCGCATTTTTGTCAGTACTTCTCAGAGACCTTGTTTTGAAAACTATATCATATCATTTCCAAGACACATGCTTCCTTAAAATTCTAGATGTAAAGAGGAAAGATGCTAAAGTATGGGTTTATCAATAAAATAACCAGGCATCTTTAATGGTTGATTTGTAACATAATTTTGAACTGAAAATTGTGCATCTGACTCGAAAGTTGATGGTCCGGATTGGATTCATTCATTGATGGAAGCTTTGTGGAAAGGCCATTTTGAACATCATATAACAACACCACAGAAGGCTTTGTACTTTTGAATTCCTAGCCACAGTAAAAATAATAGCCAAATAGGGAAGATGACAAAGAATCAAATCTAAATATCCACTGACGGATGAGTTATTTCATTGTTGATTCAGAATTGAATTTTGATGTTCAAATATCCAGAGAAATTTTGGAGGTCAAGAATGTCGTTAATTTTTTACAATAGTTATTGTTTCCCCTATGCTAGACTGGATTAAATTGGTTGAAATTACTATTTTTTTTTTTCTCTTATAAACATATAAATATATATATATATATATTACTTGAATTCCAATTCGCTGCCTTCTTTTTCCGTCTTTTTTGTTATATATTAGTAATTAGTATCAATGTTACACGTTCTTGCCTATCACTTTGGCACCCCACCGAAATAATTTTTGCAGTCTAACTTCCACTTGGTGCTCTCAACAACACAGCAGCATCGAGACGCAGCTTCATCGAGACGCAGCTTTAGATCATTCAAATACCATAATAATGTATGCGGAATTCGACCGTGGCAGAAAGAATTTCATTTCGTGCACGGAAATCTTAATTGGCAACACATCAACCTTGCAGACGGCATGATCAAATTCGGTGCTTGTCCCTACCACTTCTTAATAGGATGAACCCTCATCCAATATCTCCATGCGCGTGGGTTTGTATAGCCAGAACTGGTTTCGAGGAAAGTAAACGGCCCATGGCCACTTTTAATTTCTGTCCTATCTCTAACGGCTGAACTTAGTTTCCTCTTCCTAGATTTCCTAAACCTCTGATTCCAAACAAAGTACGGCGCCCCTCACTAATGGCAGCTCTTGCACCTCGTATTCTTATTGTATACTCCCGGAATGAATGGTTTCATACAGATTGATAGCGTCAACCATTCCTCCAAACTAATTGGAGTGCTGCGGCCCACGAAGATGTGCACTGCCACGAGTCTTGACCTGGGACTTCCAAGTTCATTCAGTGTCCACCCGAGCCGTTACGTGGGGCTTGAAGCCTTCACTTGAGATCTTCCTACACTATGATGCAGAAGGAGTGATATATATCTTCATGCTCTTTGTCAGCGTGTTCGGATGGGAACGGTGCACAATTAGGACATCACCAATTTTTACGTTATCATTGGCGCAAGGCAGTGAGTCTTGCGAAGAAAGAAAGTAGAGAGCTTCTTTGCTCCTGCGATCGCCGCCATACAAAGTGGGAGAATCGAAACTATTGCTTTTGCCATTTCATCCCGTCCTCGATAATAATGGCATTTTTAGTTACATACAGACAAGGCCATCCTGTTAACTCAGTATAAGGCTATATCCGTCATTTGCACCCCAGCCAATCAACGTTCAGCTACCGGAGCTTCACACTCAATAGTCCGAAGCAACTTCCCTTTCAGTCTCGGCATCTGCCGGTATGTCCAAATTAGAATTATCCACCGATTCCAATGCCAACCTCAGCCGCCTCCAGCAGGGTGGAGCAATACACCCGGACCTTCTACTCGGTAAGGGATCACCTAATATCATCTCACGAAGATCTTCATCACGTTTGTCGATGCTTGAATTACCAGCATGATCATCGAAATATGAAAAGACGATCCGAGACAGCGGCACAGAGCTTCGCGTCGTATATTCACCCTGTACGACGACCCGTATAGTTGCAGCCAATTTTCAAAACGAAGATTTCGCATATATCCCAATCAGGTTTTTACTCCCACGAAAACGTACGAGTTGCATAATATGCGGACGAAGGCACTTGCGTGTCCGTGTGGTGCCCACTGAAAAAGAGAAATTCGAGACGAGAGGGGGCGTTATTTGATGGGAGACCCTTGATTGCTTCAGTGGGTCTTTGAAATATTTTCCACTTTTACCTGATTGACGGGGGTTGATTTGACTTTCTGATAAGATTGATGCGCGCAGGGGGAATGCTATTTGTGGTAAAGCTTATTTCGTTCTCTGCCAAAACAATTCTTTCCTCCTTTCTTTCTCCTTCCCCTCATATTGATCCCCGTTTGCATCGTGTTCATTGGTCAAAGGACAAGTAACGAAGATATGCGTAATCAACCAATGCCTCAGTGGGAATCTCCAATATTTTGGTCATGAATTTTTGTGTTAGATAATTTGGCTTTGTGCCAATAGCGTGCATGCATGCCTGTCTACTGCACATTGATTTGCCTGGAACCTTACAAAAAAGGCGAAGCTCAATAGGTCGCCAGCTGCTATGATAAACTGATAGTGTTGGCTGATAGCAGGCAATGGCAAGCACCGGGATTAACGGCCAGCGTCGCAATACCACCCTCTAATGATCATGTATGATTCAGTTGAGCATCGTGGCTATCAATGGCGTTGAGCGGTCTGGATTCCTGGCATTCTGTAGGTGTTGATTATCTGATAGGAAGAAGAAAGCCTTTTGAGCAAGTCAATATCAAGCTCACCACCGAATGCCATGGTCATGCTGGCTTTGAAACAGGGAATCTTGAATTTTCAAATCAATACACAGTAGATTAATCTACACCGAGTCCCGACAATATTAGGCTCCGGGTGTCTAACTAAAACCTTGGTTAGTGACGAGAGTCCATACGGAAGCGGAAAAGGATATGGAGTAAATGTCAAGTGACTGTCCACGGAATGCATCCATTAGTGGCGGCTGTCAGCGGAGGTGTCAAGAACAAGTAGAGATCAACCGAATGTTTTCCTAATTGTGTCAAGAGTGTTCAGAACGGCATGGTTTTGACAAATTGACATGGCATGTGAGGGCATCTTGACATAATGGACCAAAGTGCTAAGCGTTTCTTGGCTACAAATTTCCGAAAACGAAAAGAAACGAGTTTGAGTTGACCATAAACGTTGAGCGGGAAACAACTTTGCCATGCTTCTTGCTACCGTCCGTTCCATAATTATTAGATTCCACCCAGCTAGCCTAACATTTTCCCACTTAACTATGATACCAGCGTTTTCTCGACCACCTCACAATATCATCAAACATAACTTTCTCCAGCGACTAAAGTTTGTTCTCTTCAACACGACTTCAAGAGTCAGGACCGAGATTGATCTCATTATTTCCGAGAATCCACATCACCACGATGTCGTGCCGACCCCCAGGATCTTTTAAGCCATAATGCCGAGTCTCCGAGCACTTTGACAATTTGTTTTGTTTGCTCTAAAGAAACCCACCACACACCTCCTGATTCCATGTGGCCTAAATTTCTCCCTTCAAAGATTGATCGACACACTGGCAGTTGTATAAAGTTACCCATGACGGCTTACCTATCATTTTTATTTCTCAATGCCGAGGCTTGTTGTTCGGCTTTGTTGTTCCCCTAAGCCCGTCTAAAACTCAATTATGATATAGCCTCATGAATCACATATAGGCTTTGTTCTGACTGCGAAGATCCGCACCTAGATGGTTCTAACGATCGCTAGCAGAAACTCAAAAATCACAATTATAGTTTGGTGAATGACATTGCAGTGGAACTGTGTAAGACAACCGCACGGCATTTTGTACTAAGAAAATTATGCCTTATGGGTTCTAGGTACTGTAAGTATGAAGACCGTAACTGGATAGTTACTCTGCGACAAATAATGGTGGCGCCTGTCGAGTGCTGTTAGTGGTATGATCTTACATTTTTCTCGATCGTTCTAACGGACGATGAAAATGGCTTTGTTGACACGTTTTTGTTCTTTGGCCTTGCCAAGTGAATCGGACTAAGTTTTTAGGTATGTACAGTCCAGTCTGAACGGCGGATCTCGCTTTTTTCAAAGGATGACGACGCGCTACCAGATGTCATTCTCATGCAGGGACGGCTTTGCAGGAACATGACACGATATTTAGAATTTTGCTCTGGTCTCAAAGTCGGAGGATTTCTTGCCCTTTGCATGTTGATTTTCTCCACTAGTGAGGCATAATTGCTCACATATGCCGTGCGGAACTGCTACTCTGCTGATATTCCCATTCGCCGTTCTGCCTAAGTTGAGGCAATTCAGGGCATAGTGTCTAGTACATGGGCTTGCATATGAAGCCTCAATAAAATTTGATTTGAAAGTATGCACGACTGACCGACTTGGTGACGTATGATGTAGCTGCATGTTTACTGACTCTTATATACATGATGAATGTTTGAGATTTGAGTCCATAAATGTGAGGAAAGATCCTAACATCAAGCGCAGAGGTACTGCTAAATCCCAACGTCCACCGAGTAACAGCGAAGATCTCGACGAGCTAGGGCGATGAAATGGATGTCGGCCCTCTGGGAGCTGCATACCGGTAAATATGCAAGTAGTCCGCGAAACGCAAAGTTATGGGTCCTGGCGACATAGTGATCGACTTTGAAGGCGGGAGCCTGGATGACACGGATGAAGATGGGTGCGCTCAGCACGGAATATGGTACGATGGGATATTTATAAAATAGAGTCCAAAACAGATTTATCAAGAAAAGTGGGAAAAAGAAAGATGGAGCGAGCAAGTAGAAGTGCATGATGTGGGGATGTGTACCTTCCTAGTACCTAGTATATGAATGGAAAGTGGAGGCACGGCACGAGGATTCATTGACTATCAAGGCGATTCTGGGGTTGTCCGGTCCGTAATGTAATGTATTGAGGGTATCATCTACATACAGTACATTCGATAGGTTATGGTATGTTATTCATAACTCAACCCTGAAAAATGGCACAAAACTAATGTACAACAGACATTCAAAAAAGTCTGTGTTATGAAATTGACTCCACTCTATGCGCATGCTAATTTTGGTTTCAACAAAAGAAGAATAAGAACGCAAACTGTGGTATCTATCGCTGCCCGGCCCAAATCGAAAAAAATCCCATGTCAATCCTGATAATGCCAAGTTCTTTTGCAACCGTCTATTTGCAAGAACCCAAAATCCCCAATCCGAATATAATACTAGTCCAAACGCATCCATAATTATTTTAATATTAATGAAAGGATTAAGAAAGTTGCGTGGAATTTAGCCTCCCATTGCCAGGCCTTGCCTCTAGTCATGTCTCTGTGTACGCCTTGAATGCCCGAAAAAAGAAAAAAAAAAAGAAAAAAAGAAATAAAAAATAAAAAAATAAAAAATAAAAAAAAAAACAATAATAAATTCAATAATGATGCTGATTGTGTCTCTCCTCTTGCCGTGAAGACCATCCTTCGTTGAATGTAGATGCGTCTCTGGGGCTTAATCCTGCGTCACTGTTGCAGAGACTCATAGGACTCTGTTCATCATCGGCCGAATGCATTCGGTTGTGGTGGGACCTAGCAGCGTTCTCTGCACGAGCATTATTTTGGAGTGCAGGTAATTTGCGTCGACGTGCATTGATGAACCAGTTGGATATTTGGTCTGTGGAATGCGTTAGCAATGTACAAAAATAAAGTTTTGTTTTGCGTAACTACCTACTCAAATGTAGTCCTGTTTGTACCATTAATAATTGTTTTTCTTCCTCATTTGGATATGGATGTTCTAGGTGGTTGATGAACCAGGTTGTCAAGATATCCGTAGTGGGTTTGGGAAGGTTCCCTCGTCGCTTTCGGGGTTTCGAGTCCATGTCTTGTGCTTGGTAAGCGGCAGAACTGTAGTTTCCTGAATGATGTCCTTCAGTGAAAGGAGTTTGTCCTTGATTGAGTTGATAAGGAGGATGCCCAGGATAAGCCTGGTTTCTAGGCTGTTGATAGCCATAATCAGATTGTGAAGGGGCGTATGATGTATCATGAGCGGGGGCATAGTTGTGCTGCTGGTATGGTCGGCAAGCTTCCAATGAATACTCGCTTCTTGGATAATCGTGAGAATGACCTGCTGGGATCTGGTGGTATGGCCTATCATAAGATCGATCTTTTGTAGCTACACCGGGAAGATTTTGACGGTATATGGTACTTGATGGTTCTGAGATTGGAGAATGGAATGGTGGTCTGGAAGTGTGATCTGAAAATGGGGCTCTGCGCTCTGGAATTGAGCGGAGGCTTTCCCGACGAGCAATAGGACCAACTGGCGATGCAGCTCCACTATCATGATGGTAGGTCATTGGGCTTCGACTGCTGCTAACTGATTGATATCTTCCTCGTTGCTGCTGGATCTCGTCGTCATAGGAACTGTTGGATGATATCCTTCTCTTGTTTGATTCAGGAGAAGTGTTGTATGTTCTTTCTGTCATGACGGGAGAAAATGATGCGGTATTGTGTCTGTACTCCGCTCCATTTACTTTTTCCTGGCTTGCCAAAGTAGAAAATATCTATTCGGAGGTCAATGCTGTCCCTAAAAATTCTTCGGTGCCACTAACTGTATGAATGGAAGGAAGTGGTTCCTGAACATTTGAGAAGCATGGTTTTGACCTCATCTCTAAATGTTCAAGACCATGCCAATCCGAGCCAGAGGATGCATGAGGTCTCTGTGCGACAGCCATGGTGGAATATGTATCTCGTGTATTGGTGTTTTGTGCGTAAGATTGTTCAGGAGTATGAAAGCTCATTTCAAACTTGCCCGATACGGCTCTGTGTAGATATGAAGAGGTAAGAGTGTATGGTCCTTTTGTAATGTCAGTGAAGGTACATATTGATTGATTAAATAGTTGAAGGAAAGTTAGAGATTGAAAAGAAGTCTAGAAGGAAGTCTAGCAATCATGACTTATTCATTGAGGTCCACAAAATTTCTGGGACAACACTAAAATGAAGTTGGAGGGAGCAATGTTCTAGTTTGATGACCTACTCGAGTTCCAAGACTGATCGGCCCCTACCACCGGTGTAGGTAAAAATTCAAATTTGAGAGAGCCGCGAACAATAATAGTGCCGATGGAGGTTATTCTAAATTAAGGTTTTCCAGTGGTAACTCGAAGGTCCCTCCAAGCCGGTCTCGAACGATTTAACAATGATCCGTGATGTTACTTTCGGAATCGTCAGATTCAAGTAGGAACGTTCAATGGTGGTATTGGCACAAAACGAAAGAATCAAAATAGGGTTCTTGCAATGGGCCGAATATAGATTTCTGATGTGATGGATGAAAGGCGATCTGACCTAACCTCGGATTGATGTGAAAGAGATTTTGACTTGTAATGTATGTAATGAGGAGAGAGGTCTTTTAAATATAACAGATTATTTGAAGAAGTAGATCAACGGGCCGCTGCACAGTTGCCGAGATGGTAATTCCATAGAAGGCTAAGACGATGGGAGGACAAGATCAAAGTGCCAGGGATGTTTCCCACAAGAGAACACCGCAGTGTCAGAAATGGATCCAATGTCCGTGAGGCTTGTGCTTTGGCAAAGAAGGGGGAGTGATGTCAGGATAGCCTCGTCGATGAAGTTACATGGAGGTATGCTTGTGTCGATCCCAAAAAAGAAGAGTAGGAACGGTTGTAACTAAGTAAGCGGTCTAGTATGGCGTTTCCCTGGAATATTCCAAATAAGGCTCTAAGGGTATGGGTTATGAGTAATGGTACTAGGACTAGGAGACGCTTGACAGTATGATTGGGCTTTGTGTTGTAGAAGAATCTAATGTAATGATAGTGCTCGCCGCAAAGGAGGAGGAGCTGCATCCTATCACCTAGGTTCCAAGTCAAGTGCTAGCGTCACGGTGCCAAGGTCCTTTTTACACTCGCGCTCTTCAACCGTGCAGCACTGCAGCCGCTCTATTCCCCGGTGGACACATTCCATGTTATCCCAATACCGAGCAGGGGGATGTTCCAAAGCTGCAACTTTGCTGCATGTTGCCGAACGAATGATGAAAATCGGGGGACGAGTGAAGGAAGACTTGCGATTTGATCAATTGTTTATCAGTTAAAACATCGTCATGGATGCTTTGTTCTTTTTTTCCGGGTCCCAGAGTGCCGATGGTCATTGATATAGTGTACTAGTTGACAAGGAGGTTTATGGGACTAAGGTGCTTTTACTCCTTATTGCTTAGCCGCAAAGTCAGGGTACGGTTAGCTGATAGCTGATGGAGACTTTGTTTTGATGTGATGTTTATAGTCTGGCAGTTTTTGATGGTCACAAGCAAGTGGATACTAGACCTTCAGTCTACTTGGTAGGTGCTCATGGTGCCTTCCTAGATTGTTGGTATGTGCATTCAGCAATCTATTCATAATTCTGGGATCAGCCTTGTCCTGTGTTTCCCCTCCGGTCTTCCCACATATTAGCGTCTCCTGTGGCGGACAATCTCTCTCTCTATTAATACATCCCTCATTATTAACCTTGAATAGCCCTTCCCCTCTTCAGGAGCGATGAGCGAACTCGACTAATTCGATCTACTTAAATCGAAACTCTGAATCTGCATGGGTCGAGCTGATGGCAAAGACCAGCAGTCATTGCCAAGGACATTAGAGTTGACATATTGCTTGATTCATGACTATTAATTTTGTCCTTGACATTTCGAATTACTAAAATTGCAGCACGCAACCTTTAGACTACAATAGAGTTTTAGCAAAAGAAACAGGCCCAAATTACGGGGCTTAACTTGGAGCTCGGTGTCTTTTCCGCACTGTAAATAGCAGTCCACACGGAAGTCATTAATTTATGAATCCACAGTTGAAAGAATACGAGAAAAGATACTCTAACTCCATACTCACATAAATGAATTTCTGTTCAAACCTCGAATTTATTATATTGTATATAGAAACTACAAATATCAAATATTCCTGCTCCCTGTGAAGTACCTCTGCCACTGAAACAGACATCCCAATCTGATTTCTAGAAGATGTAAGTTAGGCCATCACTCCTGCAATTTAACTTCATATAGGTTAGAACGAAAGGAATGATTCCTTTGAGAAAGGGAAAATAAATATATTAAAACTAAATTACAACCGATAAAGTTTAGTTGGACATCAGACTCGTAAAGTAAAGCTGGTTACAAATCCACACATGTCTTGCTTTTTGATAGTGCCACTGACCGATTGTACCGAGGTATTTTTGTTTTTTGCATTACACAACTTTAGCTTCAGCAAAATTTACAATGTGGAGACCTAAAAGCTGAATTCATGGAGATCAAACCCTTTTTCGAACGACTCTTTGAAATGTGCAATACATAGGGCAAAACATCAGGGGTAGCATTCCGGGTCCTAGGAAGTTACTTTGAATTGTTTGATTAGCTGCTCACCGTCCGTTTCAACTACTACCGATCCCCCCTCGCAAGCCACGACGTTCAGGCAAAATTGACAGGCTTATTTCTACCACTGACATGATCGACGCCGGGAGTTGATGTCTTTCGAGGAGATCTTAGGGGCCTGAGGAGAAGGGTAGAATGACAGCTGTGCAAGGACAAGGACATTGTTATGAGCCGAAAAAAGCTTCGATGATTGACAAATGAACTGCCTAGATCTCGATGAGTGGTTAATTTGAAGAAATTCAAATCGCCGAATACCCACCTTTTAATATATCTTTGAACTTGGATAAGGCAATGCGACCTATCATTATTGCTGCTGCTAAACACTTGCAGGATGCAGAACGATGGGATCTTGCAGGTAATTTTTTCTGACCCGAGTGACCCATCTGCTTGGGACCAACCATAGCGAATTTTCTACTTGAAATACAAAAGAAAATTAAAAAATATAAATATAAGTCTTTTTACTAGACGGCTGGGGGGCCGTTGAACACTCAGTTTTATCCTTGAAGGGTGACAGATCTGGATGAAGGGGGGCTCGTCTATGATTCATCCGTTTTATTCACAGTTTGAATCATGAAACTTTCTGACAAGTGTAAATCTCGCAAGTTGGGCTCAATATGGCATTTTCTAATCCTAGATGGGATTCTTGGGGATAGGCCCATAGAGTTGAAAATACCCACTACGCTTCAGGGACTTCCGAGCTCTCCGAGATGGTGGCGCGTCGGGGATGGTTCGGGCATGGATGAATATGACTTTTAGTTCTTTTGGCAGGTTCAAGGCTACGCCCACAGCAGAAGTGATGGCTAGATGACTGCATTGATGTGCTTATATGATATTTAGGACAAAGCCATGATTTCTACTGACTTATGTTTCGATCAATGCCAACCGAGGGAGATCGTAATGGTTGGGCACGGTGCATGGTTAGGAGGCGTTTATCCTAGCCACTCCATTTGTGAAGGTTTATTAAATCGATATTATAAACTTTTAAAGATCTCGACGGCCGCAATAGGCTACATACGCACTACACAAACTTCTCTTTCTTTTAATCGCGATGATCTGTGGGGTTTGTTACATGCAGTTATCAATTTAAATACCCATGCTTAAATGTACCTGCACTCGGCCGCATACCTGCATCTTTGCATAATGCACAAAAGTAAAGCGAATCATTTCCTGGAAATCTCCTTCTGACAACCAGTAAGACATGTGATTATAACAGTATGCAGCCAACCTCCTCGTGATGCTAATGTGCTATAGATACCTGGCTACAGCTAGAGGTGCCATGGCAAGTTCAGATGAGACCTACCCTGATTGCAATATTTGTACAATCCTCCGAGTGCTGTCTTCCCGAGACACCATGTTTATGGAACTTTGTACTGATTCTTCTCAGGAGTGTGGAAAGTCAAGCCCGCTTAGTGGAAGTGCAAATTTGCCATGTAAAAATAACCAACTTCTCGTACTTTAGTAGGTTGTCATGCTTTCCGTTCTGCAAATTTCCTTACCTGCAGTATTTTGTGCTTTACGGAGTATTTGATTCGAAGCATCCAAGCCACAATTTATCATGGAGCGACCATGAGCCAGCCCCTCGAGCTCATGAAACGACCAAAGACCAGAGATCTCAAACAACCTAGATCCAGGCAACCCTCGGTGTCACGGCAAGAGAAAAAAAAATTTCAAGGATATTCGAGGATAATGACCAAATGGCAGCGGAATTCATGGGTGCCCCCTTAGTGCAAAGTGTCATCACATCAATCTTTGCAACGGGTGTCAAGGAAATCGCTGATGTTTCCAGATTAGGAACCCCAACGAAACTTCGAACCGTTGCATGTTCAGCAGAAGAAACAACTGCATGCCGACTAGAGCATGTCGAGTGGTTCATCGGGGAATTTAATTGCACGGGTATAGAAAGGGAGTCTTGAGACCTGACAGCCTTCTGGGGATTGAAAATACTTTTCATGGGTCATGGCAATACGCTCGCCATTTGGGATCGATCGAATAAACACTTGACCGAATTCATTCTGTACCATCCTTCCAGCATCCTAAAGACTTCGCGATTGGATTGGATATGAAAGCTGCAACCGTCTGCATGGCTGTGTACCACCCTCCATCTGTCAATCGTCAAACTTAATTACACCCTTTTACTCTTTGACAGGGAATTTCTGACCCTGGTAGACATGATCAAGAACATTGGTTGCTTCGGTATCATGGTTGTATAATAGCTTGTCACCAAAGTTCGCAATCGACAGTAATTCGCAAGAATATCTAGAAGAGGAAATGCTGACATGTGTTATGTAATCAATTATGCGCTTACCCGGGAAAGCTTTCCTCTAGATCTTACATACTACAATACAAACACAGCAACAGCCAAGTTCAGCCAACAGACGGAAATGAAACCATACCGAAATCAAATTATCCACAAGGCGCAGGGCAATTGTTGACTTCATCAATCAGTGAGTGTAATCAATGTGCCTGGTCTGCGCGGTGCGGATATGGCCGTGTGGAAATTCCGGGGTTCTTGGAACTTGCATCCGGAAGGGAAAGGAAAAAGCCTGAAAGTCACAACAGTACGCAATCCTAATTTATTGTAGCTGTTGTAGGACGTAATCTTCGTTTGTACTTCATATGATTACGCCGTGTAATCGCCCACAACCTCGTCAACGGTCAATTTCCAAGATTCCAGTATTCCAAGATTCCAAACTTTAATACATCCACCGGTGACCCCTCCTGTCCAGTCGCATGCACGAAGCGCCATTAAGCATTATCGCATATTCGGTAAAGAGGTAAAGAGTAACCCCAAGAAGGTTCCACCGAATCACAGGACTCTACCCACGAGCTGATGTCTTCGAGACTTATTGCACCTTCGCCAATCTAAGGCGAGCGGAAGCCAACAGTATTGGGGACATCCGGCTGTTTACATGTCCAAGGTGCAACAGAATTGGCTCGTCGAGTCCCCATGGTTACCAGCTCGGGGACCTAAAAACCGAGTAGACGGCGCAGCACATCTCGCTACCTGTGGCTAGCCTTTAAATCGAGTGATACAGATACTGCCAGTCTTGCCATGCAGCTCGCCGTTCCAAAACCAGTTCATCGGGATCTTTATGTTCTTTCTTTTCTGATCCCGATTTTTGAAACTATACCTCGGAACGGGTAGATAATTGACCATCAACGATTCTCTCCGATGTCTAAGACTCGTGTGAACGATAGTAAGCAGTCATTGAAAGATTACTGCACAGCTTGTTTTTACCGTCGCTCATAGCTAGAAACATGTAGTGGTTTGCGTCGTCTCGTGGAGGCCATATCCAGGAACGTTGCTACATCAAGGGGCACCACCCAATGGATACCAGAGAAATACTTTTAACCATTACTAATTTTTGCATGAGTTTCACTAAGAATTGCTGCAGTTATCAATCATAGTTTCCATGGTCCCCACGCGATCGTAATGCTCCGTTCATGGTTTCTATCTGATTTCCCTGGCCGACGTTAGGACTTTGCTTTGGAAATGTATTTTATAAATGTATGCTATACTCCCAAACCACAGAACATTCATACCCAGACGCTCCAGACTGCTTCAAGTGGATTGGGCTCCGATGATGATTTGAACGAGGGGGTCGGTTTAAATCGGCCCATGGAGGTGTGAGGTGGGAGGATAATCTACAAGAATACCGATAACAGCCAGACTATCCTGGACAAACTGAGGGGTAGGCCTACCGAAGTCCTTCAAGCATCACCATCATGAATTTTTTTGTTGTTTTTCTTTTAAAAAAAAAGGACAGCGCTGCACCATTTTAAGATTTCTTACAAGATTCGTTATTCTCAAATGTAATCTCTATTAATTTTTCATGAGTCTTTGGCGATGGCGAGCTCTCTCGACGTGCAAATGCAACATTCAACCATCATATGATTATTCTCTAGTTTTGTCTCTTATGACTTCATCAGTTTCTCTCAATTGTTACTGATGGTTAATGCCACCATCGAGGTTGCAACCACCTCACTACATGCCGTAGTCACTCGTGACAAATTTGACGTGGGACCTGCAACCTCATTGAGAACAGGATGCAAGCAGCTTCAATAAGAATCTTCGTTCGGTTTAATTTAATATTACCCTATGAATCTATCATTCTGTCTACTTGTTATCCATCTGATGACGACGCAAAAAGTAACTAGTGGGGTTTATACCCCACGCTGGAGTTACATTACAGAAGAGTATGCATGAGAATATCCTAGGATTATGAATCTTCATCTCCAATTACTTTTGCATTCAAGCTTCAATATTTTCCTGTAATAAATTTTTCTGCGACAAGACCATAATTAATGAAGCCACGAGCCGAGGAAAGATCGTTAGTTTACCGAAATTTCTCGGCTTGTGAAATTCTTCTTTCTTTTCTTGTTTGATACACTTTCGTGGGATTAAGCATATAGCCTTCATGTACTCAATACTCGAAAGCTCTTGTATTTATAAAGATTACCACCTTCGTCCCATCCACGGAATATCCACAGTGAAATATAGTATGTTAGCTTCCACCACCTTGCGCTCATCTTGTCAGCCCTATCTCTGCATTACTGGACAAACTTGTTTTTAAAGGACGCATGCACAGAAATTTTGAAAGAAAATATATCCCGTTCTTCTCACCTATCAAGTGATAATGGAAAATCACATCACTGCCCTTAGTGGGAGTCAAGGGTATTTTATCATACTGACCCTAGTATATAAGTCTTTTTGTATAGATTTATATGAAATATATTATTTGTTGAGTTGTATAGAGATTAATTAAGTAAATAGTAAAATTATATATATTGTATCAAATTGTATATATAAAAAAACTATTATAGTAGAATTTTTCTAATCTCAGGATTTTATTCTTAAATAGAAAAATATTATTGAATAGGTGTTACGAGTTTTGCCTTCTAGATCACGTAGAAGTGCTCTAGGCTCTCGAAGTGGTTTATAACTAGGCGTCAAGTAGGGACTTAAGGTAATGACAATAATGATATGCAATTCGTAACTAATAGTAGAGTATACTAAATGATTGATCTTGAGCACGAAGCTCTACAACAAAGAAATTCATACTGAATATATAGATCTTCATGCTCCCTTGGATCCTTTTGGATCCTAAGCTCCAAAAGCTCCAAGTCACGTGTTTCTGACAGTGCGTGCGCACACGATCCTAAAGTGGCCCAGATCACATATTAATTCGATGAAATCTGATCGCTTTTGCACAAGGCCCAAGGTCTCCTAATTAGTCAGTTGTTACCATTGTAACAATAGGTGTTATATAATTTATTTATTTATTTTATTTATAGGTTTTAATATTATGTATTTACTTATTTTTTTATTCACTTGAATAATTCTTAGATTTAAACAATTAAACATAATATAATTTTATGTTAAAAGGAATAGAAGTTACCGGTACTAATCACGTGTCGTGATTAGTAATACGGTTACCTAAACAGGCTAGATTAGACGAACCATAAGCAGGCATATTGGTCCCCTCCGAGGATACCAAGAGGAGATTAATATGCCTACAGACGTAGTAATATAGTCAATATAGAGGCCTCTTCCACCCAATCTTTTAATATTTTATATATATTCTTTTAGATATGAATTAGTCTTGTATATATAATATTACATATAATATTTAATTTCATTTCATTTCGTGTATATAGTTTAAAATCCTTATTTAATATTATTATTGTTTTCGAATCAACAGCCTCTACTAAGAGTATTTAAGTATGTATCGTATGACTTTATAGTATTATCCATTATATTTACTTCATGCTGATCGCTAAAGATCTCTGTGCCGTTTTTTCGAATGCCCACTTTCACAGTCTAAATCTTTCTAAAAAGCTAGGAATATGTTATGTCAAACTGCCAAAGTTTTTAGCATCGTTTAACACTAATTGCGTACTTCATGATTCTTGGTCACAATTTTGATTTGTCAGTTTTTGTTCATAGCGGGATACAACCACAATTGAGACTAGACATTAGTGTCAAGCATTTTGACACTGGTAGACCTGTGAAGAAGGGCCGGGAAATCAAGTTTGAACGTCAAAACTCCGATGAAACTAAGTGCTGGCGCGCAGCTTAAATACATTTTAGCTGCGATCTAAGGACCGCAGATCCACGCCCTAACTCGTCAGATCAGACGCACGGTCAACATCTCGTTATGAGGCTACGAGTCATACATTAAAGACAATCAACATGGTAATTTCGACAAGGCAATAATAAACGATCCACCCAGATTCATCTATTCCCCCTTGTTGCCACGTTTTTGACGTACGTCTCGTTACTGCTTCAAGATCACGTCTATGCTTGAAATTAATTTCACAGATGGTATGGAGTATGAGGACTTTTTGCAATTGTGAAAAGTATCGATAGAAAGAATGCACCAAAAGTCCCGAACATATATGGAGTATGAAAATTCCGCAATTGTGAAAAGTATCGAAAGAAAATCATGTACCAAAGCGACAAATGACCGCGAGCGTCCTGAAAATTTAGACTCGTGCTGCCAGAAAGTATAAGACCCCTTCCCTAAAGGGGCCTGAACCTGGGGGGGGAACTCTAATTTGGCCAATGAAATTCACTCATTTTCCTCATTCCACTCTAGCTTTAGGGATTTAGAAAATGCTAGAAAACATGTTTAACATGCTCGCTTATACCCTTATCAATCAAAGATGATCTGGTTTAGTAAGGAGTTTTATACTTTCTAGCCGTACTCGTGCGGCCAGTAAGTCTAGGGCTCTTTCCTAAACAGTATCTATTTTCATTAAAAGGGGTATAGAAATTTTATATCTATATTCAATACAGCAAGGTCGTGAATTAGATCGCATAAATGTGGGTATAAGCGAGCATTCTGTTCACATTTTCATAGCATTTTCTGAAAATCCCTAGAAATAAAATGGAATGTAAGGAAAGTAGTGAATTTCATTGGCCAAATTAGAGTTTTCCCCCGCAAATTCAGGCCCGTTTAGGAAGGAGCCTTAGACTTTCTGGCCGCACGAGTACGAGTAATAAATGCGCTGAAGTATTGATGATTTACGTTTAGTCTCTTGGCCGAGTTGCTCGTACACGATACAACTACTTTTCACACTTAGTGAGCGCTAAATAATTTCTCCATTAATTCACTTATTCTATCTAAAACTAATCAGATTTTGACTCCCGATGAGATTGTTCGTTGATCCTGCCAAGTGAAGTGCCACTTCCAGGGAATAAATGCGCTGACGAACTAAGCGAAAAGGCGCCGCCACATGACAAAAGGTATTGGCATCTCCGTGTATATCAAATAGGTACTTATATGAACGCTTTGTACGTACCGATTACTAAAAGAATCTACAAAAAGTTCCAGATTCATTTCCGGTGAGTTTTATGCTTCTGGTGTGCTTGTCGCTCTTGTAGATCTTGCGGTATGGAGAAATATTAATTCGCCAAAGTATACTTTTTCGCCGAAGATCAACATGTCATCCATCTTATCACCGAAATAATATCGTGCAGGTAGTAAATTTCTAGTATGAAATTGGCTTTATTCATGAGGCTTCTAGAACTAGATGTCTACATACTTATATCTTGTTTTACTGGTGAAGTCGACGACAATATCAAGGGAAGAAAGGTCAAGTGAAAGACTAAAAGCTAGAGAAATGAAAGAGCTGCTGTATCTCCCCACATTTTCGGTCCGAAGTACGCAATTAAATGTTGGTCTGGCTTGCCTACCAAGTTCCTTGATATTGAGCACACAGCTCGAAATGTGGAAAGCATAATGAGCACTTTACAGGAAAAGACGGCGGGGTGATGATTATCATCTTGTTGAAACTCCGCATTATGGAAAATATGACATATGCCCTACGCAATGATGATAAAGTTTCGGATCAATGGTCTTTTAATGTGTTGCTTTTGGTAATGGTGTCCTTACGCTGTTTGGGATAAAAATCTCTTTTGAGTGCCTTGGGACTGCCTTATGCGGAGTTGGAAAATTGACATATTCGCCTAGGGGCGCGCTAGTCTAGTGGGTGCCTGGCTCTCGGGGCTACAATCAGGTGATTTTTAATGTCTCCATCAGGAGAGTCTAATCGGCCAACTTCTAAATATGTGACGCCTCACACCTCCGGGTCACGTGGCATGCCCCGTTTGTATTTAATCACAGGAAAACTCTCTACTCTTGTTTTCCTTCTTCTTTTCTCCTTAGCTTAGTATTTTCTAATACAAGATACTTTACCCAGTATTCTTGAGTGTGACAAAATATGATAATTGATATCAGGTTTTCGATCTCTTTTTCATATTTAATTTTATATTAATCTATAAAAAATTAATAAAATCTAAAAATAATTATATAAAATTAAAGTCTTATTATTTCTTTTCAAAATCACTAATTTTTTATTATATAATTTTTGTTTTTGATTAAAAATAAAATAAATCTATAAATAATTCAATATTAAAAAATTAATCATATTGTAAATAATTACTTTTGAAATTTAAATAATTAATCAAACAGTTAATATTTTTGAATTTTTAAAAATACTAAAATATACAATAATGTTAAAAGGAATGACCTCACACAGGGAATAGTGGGAAGTTGATAGGGCAGAACTGAGGTAATATTGGTGTCACACTCAAGAATACTGGGTAAATGTGACGGAAATCCCTGCTTTCCTCCCACCCTTATTATATAAGAAACCTCAGGTACATTAACCATGTCCACACATGATACGATTACTCGAGATTAGTATACGATTTAGGTGACCTGAGGATCAGATCCGGACAAGTACTAGGTATCAATGGTTATCGGTAAAGTAAGATCATTGGAGGAATAAATATGACTTCTTTTTGCCTAGCCATTGCGGCTAGGCCATTCATTTGTGTATATATAGAGTAGCTATCCCCATCTACAGGTGCTCTTCACCTGTAGATTCTAAGTTAAATACAATTGCTGGTCTATAAACACCCTTTTGGTCACAGTAAAGTATCTTGTATTAGAAAATACTAAGCTAAGGAGAAAAGAAGAAGGAAAACAAGAGTAGAGAGTTTTCCTGTGATTAAATACAAACGGGGCATGCCACGTGACCCGGAGGTGTGAGGCGTCACAATTGGTCTAGTAGGTTAATCTCTCTTCTAAGTTCTACGGAAGTGCGAAGCTCTCTTACAGAGAGCTTCTCAATCTAGTCCTAATAGGACTAGTGCCCTGTGCACGTGCTACGCAGGAACCATTCACTTTAACAAATAATATTTTTTTATTTATTTGATATATTAAGAATTTAAAGATTTTTAATATTAATATTTTTAAAAAAAAACTAATTTTTCAAAAAAATTTAATTTTTAATTAAAATTTTTAAAATTGTAATTAAAAATTTTTTATTTATTTTATTTCAAAATTTAAAAAATATTAAAAAATCTGAAAAATAAAAAAATAAATAATTTTAATTTTAAATGATTAATTTATGAAATATTATATTGTTAAAAATAAAGATTTTAATAAATCTTTTTTAAGATTTTAATAAATCTTTTTTAAGATTTTAAAATAGAATTTTATCAAATATAATCAAATTTACTTAAAAAATTTTTTAGATTTTTTTTAATGATTTTATTCAAAAAGTAATTTATTAATAATTATAATTGTTCTGGCTCATGTTACAAGAGTAACCGTCTAGATCATATAGTGTTACGAGGTTTGCCGTCTAGATCACGTGGAAGTGCTCTAGGCTCTCGAGGTGGTTTATAACTAGGCGTCAAGTAGGGACTTGAGGTAATGACAATAATGATATGTAATTCGTAACTAATAGTAGAGTATACTAAATGATTGATCTTGAGTACGAAGCTCTATACAAAGGAAATCCATCTTGATTATATAGACCTTCGTGCTGTATGTCCCACCTTTCCCCTCGATATAAATCAGTGGGATCGGTGGGAGGCCTTCCCATCGTTCCCTTCGATTTAAATCGGTGGGACGAGTGGGACCACGTGACCCCTTGTTTAGTCATGTGATACGGGTTTTAGTCGTAACTGAATACCGTCGTAACATATAGAAGTGCTCTAGACTCTCGAGATAGATTTTTAATTAAACATCAAATGAAAACTTAAATAACAATAATAATAATATATTATTTATAACTAATAATAGAATATACTAAATAATTAATCTTAAATACAAAGCTCTACAATAAGGAAATCCATCCTGATGTTACACCTGTTGCGATAGAGGGGGGGGGGACCATGAAAACACGTGATGGAACGGTGAGGAACGGACGTTCCTAGGAAACAATCAGAAACGCCCGCTCCTAGGAGCAACGGCTCCTGACTAGCCCATCGGCACAAAGGTCTAGTAAAATCAAGATTGAGTTCCCTTTTGTTATAAAGCTTCGTGCTCAAGATCCATCATTTAGTATACCTCTTACTATTAGTTACGAATTGCATTATTGTCATTACTTTAAAGTCCCTGCTTGACGCTTAAGTTATAAACGACCTCGAGAGCCTAGAGCATTTCCACGTGATCTAGACGGCAAACCTCGTAACACCTGATTATATAGATCTTTGTGTTCTGGCTCTAATAGCTCTAATTAGATTCTCTAAAACCGCTGGCTCTTGAGGCTCTAACTAGATCACTTAAAGCCGGTCACATGACTATACTGATCCCGTGATTAGACATGTGATGCGGAATATGTTACTCGATGTAACAGCTCAATTGTCATATTTAAAAATTAGTCGATTAAACTCTTTGAAAGAATTTGCTTATATCATCCAATCAAAAAGCGTAAAAACTCTAGAAGAAGGTCAATGTGAAAACTAGACTAGAGGCGCGCTATGGGAACAGCGAATCAATCATTCACTGATTAGATAACCCCTGCCAATACTAAAATGTGGATTTGAAATGTCGTTACACAGTAGCAGTTTCTTAATCCACACTAAAGTATAACTATTCCCAATCACGATTAGATTTATTTTTAGATTGTAATATTAAAGGATCAACTCTCCAACTCTTCAATTCTTGAACTTTTCAACTTTTGAAAGGGAGGAAGATCGAATTTCCGAAATCGGAAAGTAGCACAGAATCTAGAATCAGCTTAGTCATCAAATTTGAAGCTATTCATACTAAAATCTCGTTCTATAGATTGAACAAACCATAATCTCAAAAAAAGGCCCTTTGCTGATCGAGGATCAGTAAATCACTGCTTCGCTATTATCTACGCTCGTAGATAATGATATTCGTAGCGCCGACTATTTCAACAATGTTTATGACGCAATGACCACTCGGTAACATTGGCTCGCGTATCTTATGGTTAATTCTATCATTCAACCCTAATGATATTTTCCATGTGTATGGAAAGGTTAATCAGAACACGATTTGGATGTAAAAGTTTGGGTAGTCTTTTGCAACATAAATCAACGAAAGTCCGCGAACTCATTAATGCGAAGAGGTGCCGTGGAACTATTCTTGCATCACGTGCATTCTTCTCCCTACTTTGGTATTTCCCTCCAGAGCACCTCTCTCGCCCTTTCCTCAACTCGAAGGAAGTATCCTTGTCTTTCTTCATGTCCCACTTTCTACTTAGAAAAGGAGTTGGATTTGGGTGTTCATTTGGATAGTTTATACAGTATATAGCATGATAGGTATATCATTATGCCCGTAACCATAACCATAACCAAACATCGGCCAACCAATCAAAGAACTCAGCTGGAAAGAAAGCCAGTCAGTTATAATCATAGTAAAATTTCTTTTGTTCTACTTCAGAGCACTAAACTTCTTTCAAGAATATGTGCAAATTTGAAATACAATCCATCTCCACCTCCACTCCACCTACATCTCCCTTCACCATTTCACTCACTCATTCATTCATGAACCCAAACACCAAAGAACTATACAACTCAGACAGGAAAACCCCTCTCTCCATCCTATCCATCGTACATGACGCCATCGACCAAAAGTAACGCCAGACCCCAATTCCGCTCCAAGCCATATGGAAATGAGCATTTGTCCGATGGCTTCTAGTAGTTATCCTCTACTAAGTATGCAAAATGAAACGCCACAAAAACAGAAACGCAAAATCAGTGGTATCTTTTGCAATCGCAATGCCCTCACGTTACACAATTACTTAATCTCGGACTTTAGTTGACTTCTTAGCTGTGCCGATATGTGTGTTATGAACCTGGTAGCATTGTTAGTTTTGAAGATTCTATTAAATATGTAGATGCTTACCTTTGTCGCAAATTTTAAACTCGTCAAAGTCTCGCCCAAGTGAGCTTCCAATGGACTTGCCATGACGAACATGAGTGTCTTTGAATTGCCTCCAAGAGAATATTGTAGGAGATAGGTCAACTTCGAATTTCGATAGGGGATATGTGCTCCCTCTTTTCCTGATCCCAACGCTCCAATAACATCACCTAGACAACTCAAACTCTTGTTGATATTCTGAGTCTCCTTCATTCGATCTCCTTCAGCACCAGATACCTTGAGTCTTTCAGAACCAGCCAAATCTACCAAGTTGAGAGTACTGTTCAGAAGTCTCGTTTGTAGAGTTGTTTCGTCCAAC